GTGGCTTTATTCGTGCCTGTCTGCCTGTCTTTCTGTCTGTCGTGGGTGTGGGACTCATGCGTGCGGGTCAGTCAAAAGCAACAAGCAAGACAGACATAGAGATACATATATATGGATGTTGTTATCCTCGGTTGATGCGTGACATGCAGGGCCGTTCACTTCTTCCCCTTCTCCTTAGGCGGCACGTAGTCTGTCAGATAGACAGCACAGCAACCAGGGAAAGAGACACAAGCGAAATCAGTCGGTCAACCGTTGTGGCGCCCACGACTGATAACTAACTGCATGAATGCGTACTGACCTTTGTGACCTGGGAAATAAAGGTGGTGTGTGTGTATTTCTCTGCCCTTCCTGGCCTCCTTGGCCGCCTTCTTCTCGGCCTTCTTCTCGGCCTTCTTCTCGTCCTTCTCGGCCTCGAAGCCGTAGGTGTAGTCGAAGGACAACTGGTCGAGGGGAAACCACTTAAAAGCGAATTGGAGGTGCTACACACACACACACAGATAGAGAGAGAGAGTGTGTGTGTGTGTGTGTGTGAGCATTCGTCTTTGCACATCATCCATAACATGCCTGCGTATGTGCTCACCCCCTTGTCAGATATGCAGATTGGGTCCTCTGAAGTGTTCACTGGAGTGAGCCCCATCGAGGTGCAACTTTCGATGCACCAACCCTGCACACACACACGCAGAGAGGGAGAGGGAGAGAGAGAGCACATCCACTCATCCATCCATGTGTGCAGGCGGCCGTAGCGCATATGTGTCTGTCGGTCGGTCGGTCGGTCTGCCCCATTCACCTTGCCTTCGGAGGGGTGGGCAGGTTTGCCTGTCGTCGATTGCCCCCAGGTGGTTCTGAGGTACCTGCACGTTCACCCACACACCGCACCCAATTGACGACATCACATATCCCCTCCCCTCCCCGCCCGCCCCGCCCACGTACACCCGCTCGACGAGACACATCTTTGGGCGGCCCCCCCTGTCTCTGAGACAGGGTCCCCATCCTCCTGGGACGTGATTGTACCCGACGCCGACCATACTCCAGTGATGGTGATGCTCAACTGTCGGTCCGACTGGACCTTCCTCGCACGTACATCAGAGAATGACACAGTCACCCATTGTGCCCATACATCGTAGCAGACACCGACTGATGTGTCCTACGATGTATGAAGCCATCAGATTGACCTGCAAAGTAGGGGGTCTCTGCGGGGGGGCGGCGGTCGATCTCGTCTAAAGAAGGCATAGGCGGAGCGCTGGGGATTTTTCGTGAGTAGTCGGGGTTCTCTGCGGGGGGGCGGTGGTCGATCTCGTCTAAAGAAGGCATAGGCGGAGCGCTGGGGAACTCGGGGTAGAGCCGGGTGTGATTGGCCGGCTTGTGTTGTTGTTCAAAGTCCAGGAGCACCCAACACGACTCTGCATCTTCTTTGGGTTTCCGAGGCGGAGGCATGTTCGAGGTTCTCGCAAAGGGGTGAATACAGAACTGTCCTTTGCCATTGACGAGCTTGTGGACGTCACCTCCTGGGCACTTGGACTCAAACATCATCGTGTTGATGATCGCGTCGATGCTCTGGCATTCCCCCTGTACACACAACACAACACAACACACAACACATAACCGTTCCATCCATCCATCCATCCATCCATCCACACACAGACAATCTCACTCACCATGCCGACGGCAGGAGGTCCGTTCAGCTTGTCGATCACACATGTCGCCCCCTTTCCCGAGCAAGATTTTTCCTTCGACTTGTACTTGGCCCCGATCAGCGTAAAGTAGTGGTTCGCGATTCTGTCCTTCTCCGGACTGGAGTATGGCTGCTTCCTCAGTTTTTCCGGCGGCTGCTCCTGTTTCGACTTGTCGTACACGTTGAAGACCACCTCGCACAGGTCCCTGTACGTCTCATCCTGGATGAAGGCCCCTGCCACAGAGACGCACAAAAACAACTGTGTCGTGGCACTGTACTTTCGCGTCAGGCTGGCATTAGGCCGGCCCACTGCGTATGTATGTGCACCCACCTGTTTCAGCTGTCCTGATGGAAGTGGAGCGCCCCGTCTGTTGGATGGTCGTGGCTAGGTCCTCAATAGCCGTCACGACATCGCCCGTTGCCGTGTGTGCGGCGGTGGCCATCGCGTGGGCGGCGGTACTCGCCGCATGAGCGGCCTCGGTGATGCTCTTGGCCTTGCCGAGTGCCGTCTGCAGATAGGCAGCCGACATGGATCCACCTGCAGCCGTCACCCCACCAGATTGCTGGATGAAGGCGTTTTCCTCATCAGAGGGCGGACACGAAGAGGTATCCGCACCTGCACACACACAAGCCAACAACACTTCCGGTCCATCCTTACGCAAAGCAGGAACGCGCCAGATCAACACGTGCACAAGAGCGCCGGGCTTTCGCGCCTACCGATGCATCCACCCGTCTGTATTTGGCCAGTGCCGTGCATCGCTCCTCCCACCGCGCCAGCCGCACCGTCCTTGCCCTGGACCGCGTCGGACACCACGTCACTCTCCTTGGAGGTGGGATGCTTGGCCTTGGCGAGCGTCTGCGTGTCCTCGACGAAGCTGTGAGGGCACGTGGACTTGTTGTTGGTGACATGGGCTTCGTGTCCCGCCGCCACCTCTTCCACATTTGAGGCTGCGGCATTGCAGAACAAGATGGCCGCCAGGATGGCAATAGGCGCCATGGGAGCAGCTGGGGCGCCGACAAATATGACACACGGACCAGAGCGGTTGGGGCTAGCTCGCAGACGATCAACGGAAACTTGTATGCCCGAATGAGGTCTCGAAAACCTCGCCGCTGCATCTGCCTCCACCTGACGGCTATGACGATGTGCGATTTGCAGTGGAAAGCCCCGCGAAGCGCCGGGGGCGTCCTCAGCTGCCCGAGATAGAAGAGCCTTTCCACGACAGCTACGTCCCTGCAGAAGAACACACGAGCTGCACGGACGAGCGGAGTACCCGCAGTGTACAACAATCCCCACCTGTTGGCGTGAAGACTCAACCCAGACCAACTGAAGCGACCCGCTGGCCGACCCCAATATATTGGCCGACCCTCATCCCATGAATCTATGAAGATGACCAGTGAAGATGAGGCAGATGAAGATGAGGGAGAGGCAGGGAAGATCGAATCTCTCGAGGGATTCCAATTCACATTCATGGGCGAACAAATGTGGGTTGCGACAGATATATATGTGTGAGGACATGAACACAGTCTACTGGTATGTAGCAGTGCAAGCTTGGCTCCCGCGCATCACATGATCAGCTAGACTGCTGGTTTCTCCGCCATCCCTTGCGCGTTGCCAAACATCTCCTTCTCCACTTGCTGCCGAGACGCCTCCGCAGCCTGCACACATGCAGTCAGAGACACAGATAGATATAGCCACCCACTGATTTGCTGTGCGATCGACCCACCTCGTAGGAGAGGATTTCACTGGGAGAGCTCTTGCGGACCATCTCGATCACCGTGCGGTTCCTGAAGTCGGTGTCGTCCGCCCTGATGCTCACCAGCAGGTGATCGAAAACAGATATCGTCGTGGCACTCGACTTGTGGCTCAGAGTCTGAGAGACACGCAAAGCAGGGAGTTCGGGCATCGCATCGCACCGCATGAAGGACAACACAGACACGACGCAGGCACCTGTTTGTCTTCGTCGAATGTGTAGTCGGCTTCTTTGAGCAGCACCACCCCTTCGATGCCGAAGCGGGGGATCGACACCTGCACGCCGTTGCGCCGCACACGCACCACCACTGAATCAGCCGTCGATGGGCCCTGCAGACAGAGGGAGGGGAGAGTGGCACGAATGTCGGCTGCACATCCGTAGACAGGGTTTGAGTGAGTGCGGTAGGTACCTTCTTCTTGAAGTATATGTATGTGTGCAGGTCGACGGATGCCCGGCCCGCCCACTGCGCATTGCGGTGCTTGACGTTGATAACGTCACACTGGTCCGATATCTGACCACCAACACCACCAAACACACACCGTCAGGCAGGCTGCCAGCGGTCGGTCCATGTCTGTGGTGCCCGGCGGCGTGTGTGTAACCCACCTACCCGGTCTTTGTGTGAGAGTTGGTCTGGGAGGCCTTCGATGTTGAGGCCGGCAGCCAACAGCCGATGCACCAACACGTCCGCGTACCTGTGTACACGACACATATGAAGGCAGGCAGGCCAATCCATGTGTCTTGTGTGATTGATGGCATGGCGTACCTGCGAATGGGTGAGGTGAAGTGTGTGTAGAGGTCCGCGGCCAGGCCGTAGTGGAAGAATTCCTGACGATCCACCTCACTCGTGCAGAAGTACACAGCCTGACCGATAGATACATACCACACACACGACACACCAGGCATTCACCATCAACGACTCCAACCCACCCCCCCTCCCCCCCACAGCACAGGTGCATGCAGCAATACATCGACATCAATGCATGTATGGGTACCTGGTTCATGCAGCGTGTGGTGAGTATCCGAACCAGCTTGTTGAAGTAGGCGTCATCGCCCTTGACGGCACGGTCCAGGGACTCCGCCAGCTCCTTGGACGAACCATACCTGACCCAACAATCGACCGACAGAGCCACACAAGCCATCCATCCATCCATCCGCGTGCCTCTCTCTGTCCATCTGTCTGCATCACAGCAGGCTGGCCCACTTGAATTCGGTGAATCCGTTGGATGCGAGGAGCTTCTTGAGGGCCTTCAGGGCGTCCTCCTTCGGCGGCGGGTGACGCCTGCACTCATCCAGCCATCCAACCATCCATCCATCCATCCAGCCATGCAGAGATGCACTCCCTCCCTGTGCACGACCCTCCTGTGCTGTGAGTGCGTGTGCTGACTTACCGGAGGACCGAGTAGAGGGGGAACTTCTCGAGGATGAATGTAGCCACTGTCGAGTTGGCGAACAGCATGAACTCTTCCACCTGACAGACAGATATTTCGATAGGTGGGTCGGGTCGGTGGGGAGGTGGGGATTCATGACTCCGCGCCCAACGTACCAGTTTGTTGGTCTCCCTGAGTTGGTACATGGCCACGTCCGTCGGGTCGGCCGTCTCAGAGTCCAGCTCAAACTTCACCTGAACCACACCACACAATGAATGCATACCGGCCGGCCGGCCGCCTGCGTGTCTGCAAGCGGGCTGCCAGTGTGGTGTGACCTACCTCGGGTGAGGCCAGTTCGAGCGCCCCCTTGGCCATTCTCCTCCCACGAATCTGCCGGGCGAGATCCAGCAAGATCCGCAGGTTGATGGCCAGCTGGCTCCTGACCATATGATATGGCCGCACAAGAACGAACCAGGTGAAACGTTCGAACATGTGTTCTGATGGGTTGTGTTCGGTACTTACTTGTCATTTGGGTCGTCAATGATTGCCTGCGCCTCCGCGTAGGCCAGGGCAGCACTGGACCTGTGAGAGAGAAGCAGACAGACAGACAGACGGGATGGATGACTGTGTGGACAATCGACGGGCACATAAGGGTGGTGGCTCTCACTTGATGACAGACTTGTGGAATTCCGTCTTCTTGACTTCAGCCTGGTGCAAGCAAGGGACAGAGAGAGCCGGCTATCCATGCAGACAGAAGCGGGACTTGACCCCCCCTCATCTACCTACCTTGGGTGTCATTTCCCACAGGACAGAGAATGCAAGCCGCTGACGGCCCCCACTGCAAAACGAGAGCAGCCGGCCAGCACCAAGTTAGTGGCGGGTGGTTGTGTTGTAGTGCATGGCTGGCTGGCTGGCTGGCTGGCTAGGGCGGGCACTTACACGAGTGAGCAAAGGTCGGTGGTGAGGAGGCCGGGCAGCATGTCGGTTCTCTTCTCCACCAGATACACCGTGGTACACCTACATCACATTCATCCACAAACGAATGTCAGTCACAAGACAGATCGTCCACCCACCCACTCACTCACAAACTCACCTTTCCGCGGCCTCTTTATCGATGGCAGTGTCCGGCTTGACGTAGTGCGTCACGTCCGCAATGTGAACACCGATCTACACGCCAGCACGACAGACATCAGCAAGGATGAGCCCGCCGCCTCAAGTACTCACTCGTGCAGATATATACCCGGTAGTTGCCATTGGGAAGGTGCTCGACGCTGAGAGCATCGTCAATGTCCTTGCAGCCTTTGTCAGAGCAACACACACGCATTCCACTTTGCCCTCTCACCCAACCACCGCGCTGGCTGCTGCCTCCCTGCCTACGTCTGACCTGGTGGGTCGATAGAGCAGACGAGTATGTTTCGGAGATCCAGCCGCCTCGCGATCTCCTCTTCGGTGATCTAATTGATGGACACATAACACACACACACATACACAGAGGAATGGTTTTGTTTTGTTCCGTGCACGCACGCTGTACTGACTTGGAAGTCTGCAGGCGGCAGGCACTTGAGCACCGCCTCAGAGAAATCTCTGACACAGAGAGAGAGAGAGAGAGCCATGCAGAAGGAGACAAGAGGCGCCTTCCTCTCCCCGTCCCAACTCCGCCTCACCTGGTGATGACGCCATGCTCCTTGAGGATGACCGCACTGCACACCACACCGATCGACACAGCAACAGAACACTCATACATACACAGACTGACCGACCCACCTCTCCGTTGCCTTGTCTCCAGTGTCGCCTAGAATCGACACCCAGTGGCCCTGAGTGGGGGAGTGGAAGGGAGACACACATCATCATGAGCACGCGGCTTCGGCTGTCTGCCTGCCCCATCGACCCGACCGACCGACCCGTGGGTATCTTGAGAATCGGTCCCATGAGTCGATGGCAACCACTATACGCTTGTTGTCCAGCTGGTGGGAGTGCCGCGTCTGACAAGTGCGTGTGTGTATGTCTGTGCTGTTTGGGTGCGTCCCTCCCTCCCCCTCTCCCATTTCTTACTTTGATGATGATGTAGGGTATCCTTGGGTCAGCGGGGATGAAGTACCGCTCTGTGGTCACCATGGCGGACGAACCCACCTCTGCACGGCGCGCATCCACACACATACACATACACAGACGAGCTCAGATGGAGTTGTTGTCGTGAATGCATTGGCAGGCAGGCAGCCAGCTGACTCACTCACTCCTGAAGTCGTCCAGAGGTCTGAGGGACCCGCAGTACTCCCGCCAACCCCTCTTGATGACCCCTACTACCTGCAGACGGACCAAACAAACAAGGCATATGTGTGTGTGGCTTTGTGGCTTCAGACAGGCTGCTTCCGCCCGCCCTCCCTCCCTCCCTCACTGACCCGTCCCGTTTTGCGTTCGGCCCCCAGTGCGGCTGCCTGCCCACCAGCTGCGGGCTCCACCTCCATCCGGTCAGCCTCGGCCGCCTCGTCCTCCTGCGTGTCATCCAGGAACTTGTCGTCCTGCAGGGCCCAGCACACACAAACACACTTATGGATCGGAGAGGGGAGGGGAGGGGCAGTGCGGTGGGCGGTGCAGACAGACAGACAGACAGACGGACTGACCTCTCCTGTGTCGTCGGCAGCGATGAGCTGGACGGCCACCACATCCCCATCCACAGCACGGTTCAGATCCTGGCGGCCATGAATCCTCACGTCGCCCTCAACCCCTGCGCACAATAAGGAAGGGATATATGTGCCTTGCCTTGTCCCTGCCTATTTGCAACTGACCTTTGCAGGCCACATAGCCCTCGAAGCACGTCGTCCGGTTCATGCGCAGCACCCCCTGAATGAATGAATGAAGGCCACACCCACCGGCGTGTGTGTGTGCATACGGGGATCCTCTATCCTGTACCACGGCACCTGGTAGAGTTCCTTGAGCCTGATCTTGTCCCTGATCTGCGACTCCTTCATGTGGGGGGGGAAGAACCCCTTGGACGGTTCCTTGGGGGTCTCCAGGCGAGAGGGCGCCACGCCGGCCTCGTCGAGCTCGTCCTCATCGCGCAGCTCGTCTTCCGCATCCTCGCGCGACTGCACAGCACACAGCCGACCGACATGCACATACATGTGAATGGTCTCTCTGCGTGGTGTAGTGTACGAGTTGTGCGAGCTTCTCCCCCGCGTTGGGGAACTTGTGTTTGAGCATGTCGACGTACTCGTAGATGGTCATGGTCGCCAGGCCCTCCGCCGCAGCCCTCGCCTTGTTGCGGGCGTCGTTGGTCAGCAGCAGCACACGCTTCGATGCCGTCGATGCATCATGGCCCAGCAGCTCCTGCACAGAGGCCGGGTGCCGGGCATACCTACACACACACATGCACACACAAATGCACACATGCACAGACAGAGCGGTGCAATATATGCATGTAATGAGTGTCTGTCTGGCATCTCACCAGTGGGCAGCCACACGGATGGCCCGGTCGTTGCGGTCGTTGACCGTCTCATCTGACATATATGACGACACACAATGAGAGAGAGCATGGTGCTCTGCTGCCACACCGCGTACGTACCTGCTTTTCTCGACACATTGGTTGCCGAGAAGAACTCATTGCAGAAGACATAGAACCGCCGGCTGTCGTCTTTGGTGTCGACCTGCATGGCGTCGGCGTCATGACCTCTGTCCCTCTTGCGGTCCTTTATCTTCTGCACCGACTCTCGATACCGATCCTGACAGACAGACAGACAGACAGACAGTCAAGCCACCCAATCAGCCCATATATAATGAGCCTGTTAGCTACCGCCATATATCTGCGTGTGTGGATCCATTCATTGCATACGTACCTGCTGGTCAGCCTTGCAGAGTGACCGAAGCCGCGCATACGTCTGCAAGTTCCGATGACGGACCTGGCGAAACACACACACAGCAGAGGTCAACCAACAGGTGTCTGTCACGCCTGCCGTGGCAGGCATGTTCGTTCTATGAGTCGATGGTTTTCTTCTGCTGCTTGCTTGCCTCGTTGAGCACTGTCGAGAGGATGACGACGTTGTCTATGCATGCATCTTCCATGAGGAAGTCGATTTGGTGCAGCACCACATTGGTGTCCAGCAACAGCAGACTCTCATCCTCACTGAATGTCAGGACGCCTGGTGCAACAACCACACCGCCCATCCATCCATCCATCCATCTATCCATTGCATGACAAACATGCCCTCTGTGTGTGTGTCTGGCACCGCACCTGTGTTGTGCGTCGCGTCGCACACAGGGCAGCCGAACACGCCGCACCAGATGTCATCCCGGAGATAGATCTCCCTCACGATCTTCCGGATCTTGCCCCTCCGCGTTTTCCGCAGGAATGTGTCAATCCGCTTGTCCTCTGTATCCACGTCCATGCTTGGCTTTTCTGCGAAGAGCTTGAAGTCCCCACGTGGCCCGAAACCCACGCGAGCTTAGCGGAACGGCCCTTCCCTCTTTTCCTTCGAGCTTCGTCGCCATGCTGAGGAGCTCTCCACGCTAGCGACCGGAGAACCGCCTCGCCAGTTGTCGATTTTGGGCGTCGGCACTCATCGATGGGCTACAAGGGCTACAAGTGGCTTGCCCCGATTCTTGGCCCAGCAGAGGGCTTCATCTCGCTGTTCGGCAAGTTCATTCTGTTCGCACCTGGCGCGCTGTTCATCATTGGTTACGCCTTGTCGTGGAAGATCTCGCCCGAGACGACCTGGATCCACGACATGAGGGCGCGGACGGAGAGGAACGTCGACAAGTACGCCCACCTCACAGACCAGTGGAAGGACCACAACGAGAAGGTCTACAGGTGGCGTCAAGTGGATGAGTGAGTGACCGATGGATGGTGATGAGGATGATGGGACTTGCTACTTGTGACTTGGCGCAGCTGAGCCCACTGTTCAGAGCTTTTTCGTTCTTCTGGTGCGCTTGGTGGTTGACGCGATGGGTGCGTGGTTCTATCTGGATGTCATGTCATGCTTTGTGAGTGACTGACTGACTCACTCAGACGCTTTCATGTTTGTGTGTACAGCCGCATTGCAATCAACCCATGCATGTGTCATTCATCTCACTCCCTGTGAGCACGATGCGAGAGTCGAACCGATTCACACGTCGAAACACAGCTCTCTTACTAAAAAAGGCATGCATGGCACACGCGATGACACACACATCCCATGCTCGCGTGTCTGAAAGGATCGGTCGGGACCACGCGAGCATTCTCCACGTCTGTCTTCTCAGCCGATATGAGTGCACCGGTGGTACAGACGTTGACACAAGCGGATTAACCACACGGATCCCCTCGAGTACCAATACAGCAATCAGACAGAGACCCACGTTGCTAGCCACAGCATATATCAGCTGCCGTTGAGCTGCGAGGATGGATCGAGCTTGTCCAAGATGTGAAGATTGTGGATCTTCTTGCGACCCCTGCACACACACATCCATGCCATGGATGCCGATCCGATGCCAAATGACTGCCGCGTGCAGAGCAGAGAGACAAGCCAGCCTCTGTGTTCTCTGGTGCTGTGCTGACTGACTTGAGGAGGTTCTCAGGTCCGCCCCGCTTCCGCTTGCCCGTGGCCGCCTCCTCCCTGTTGAGTGAGTGATAAATCACGCGCACACGGTGTGGTGAGATACGAATTAACACAAATCACACGCGTATGCATACGCCAGCAAAGAGGCCAGCGAGCATACCTCTGTGGCATGACAGCAGGTCCCAGCCGCACTCCCAGATCACGCGTCACGACATCCCACGAGGCAGGCTTCGACTGCAAACACACACACACCCCAAGACAGCAATCCGTGCGACTGACTCATCCGTGCGACTGACTCAATGTGCGTGGCCGTGCGTCTGTCTGATGCTGACTGACCTCCTTCCACAAGGTTTTGATGTCGTCGTCGACCTTGCTGCTCTCCACCACCTCCTCCGCCCGGGGAAAGAGGCGGATGCCGTTGAGCTTCATGCAGTTGGGGCACCTGTTGCCGTAGAGGGGACACCCGCCGCCCGCCCCCGACCTGCCTTGGCCTGGATTCTCCTTGCACTTGAGTTTGGTCTGCTCGTTGGACTTGCGGATGGCGCGTACCTTCCTCTCCCGCAGGAACTGGTTGATCCACTGCTCCACCTCTGGCCGCACCTCGGTGAGGTCATCGCTGACGGCGATGCCGTTGTCGCTCTGGTTAATGAGGTTCAGGAGGTCCTCCTGCGTCTTGACGTGAGGGTAAGGGCTCGTGTAGCTGTAGAGCCGCGTGCCGGCATCATATTTGATCTTGGGGTTGGTCGTCATCTGCTGCAGCAGCGCCGTGTGGGTGCTGATCTTCTCGCCGATGCGCTGCTCGAGGTCTGAGAGCTTCAGTGGCCGCTTCTCCCTCTTGAGCTCCTCGATGATCTTCATCAAGAGGAAGCCAATGGCCTTCTGCGACGAACGGTCAGCCGCTGGCGACGGAGAGGGAGAGCTTCGAGCATCCCTCTTGCTCGACATGATGGTTGCCACGCAAAGTCTCTTCGTTTCGTTTTTTCTCGTTTTGTCGTGTGCGAGCTTAGCTCGCCAAACGGGAAAACTCCACGGGGCTCGAAAGGGGGAAGACACACGCTGCTAACACCGCCATGGGCTTGTCGACGTTGCCGCCTGCTCGTCTCCACCTCTGTCTCATCCTCCTCTCAGCGTCTGCCCTCCCTCGGTCTCTGTCTCTCCCTGGCTCCACCAGGCTGAAGGGCGACAAGCAGACGGCAGATCATCTCGGCAGCGCCGCGGCATTCATCGGTGTTCATCCCTTCGGCAATCGATCACTGCAAAGGAGGGTGCAGGTGGCGATTGGCGCAGGAGGTCAGCCTGACAGGGAGGAGACAACCAGGGCGGCGAAGAAACACGAGTGTAAGGTGAAGCTTCACCACACACACACACGCACGCGATGAGTGCATGGCATGCAATGGATGCATCCTGCGTGGTGGCTCTGGCTTTTCTCAGCACGTAAGAGGCACGTCCACCACAGCTTATTGCTGCCCCTTTCGCCGTCCTTTGTCACCGGCAAGCTTAGTGCGGGCAACAACAGCTGCCAGAGGGCAATGGAGCAGGGCGTGTCTCTGTTTGCCAAACCGCAATACGTTCTTGTCAACGAGATGACACAGCGAGTCCGACGGTGGAAGGACGCCAACGCTCTCAAAGACTTCTCCGCCGCCTTTGTGCCGCTGGAAGAACCAGGGCTGTCAACGAGCCCTCACTTCTCCATTGGGTTGGCACGATGACAGAGACAGATCAAAGCAATCGTTGTTTCACTCTCTCCCTCTCTCTCTGTGTTTGTGTGTCCAGGTTTGGTGTTCGTTTCTCTGGCGGAGGTGAGGGCAGGGGAGGCACCTTCCTGCAGTCTGGTCTGTCTTGCCTCCCCCTCATGCCCGACAGGCAGCCTGCTACAGCCCCTCCTTCACCCCAGGGTGTGTCTCTCTTCCTTCTCTTTGACATCACTGATGAGAGCGCTGACAGGCGAAACGTCATATTTGACTCCGGTGGCCTGGCCTCCTCTGAATCGGTCCAGCGATGATCAATCATTTCCGCGTCGATGGCTGTTTGTCCGTCAGGTGCTGGATTTCAGGTCGTGACTGAGCCCGACAGTGCCAGCTCCAGTGCTCAAGGCAGCAGCGGACGCACTGTTCTCTTCGGTGTACGATGCGTGAGGGCACCTGGACCGAACCAGACGGAGACGGACGTGCTGGATGCTGATGCGTGGCAGTCTGTGACGGTGCGGACGTCCTATGGAAGGCCCACGCTTTACTCGATCCTCTTGGAGCCATCCAAGGTTCAGGGCAAAATGACGGTACGGTGTGCGCGGAAGGAGTGAGCGAGATTGCAGCAGTGTGGCGTCTGTGGGCTGTTTGTGTCTGTCGTCAGGTGCACATATGTCGTGAGACCCCCTCTGGCAAGTATGAGAGCTGGCCATGTCTGACGCCAAACCCGGACACCACCCCTCCCCCGATGGGCAACCTGATAGCTCCTCCCCCCTCCCTGCGACAACCCGCCCGCATGACCGTCGGCTGCAACACTAACGGCACCGAGTGCTTCCAAGGGGTGCTGGAGACGTTCCTGCTCCGCTACAAATGGATCAACCCACGCTCACAGGCCTTCTCTCTCCCCTCCTCACGGCCGCTCTCGGAGGCCTTCGTCGAAGGTATCAGCTTCATCCAGCAGCAGCAAGACCCCCCACAGAAGAGTGATTTGACGAGGGTTGGGCAGGACCTTAACAGTGTGCTGGGCCGCAAGACGGTCTGCGGCAATGGGATAGTGGAGCAAGGCGAAGAGTGCGACGCGGCCGAGGCCTGCGGGGCGCAGGCGGGGTGTTCGTGCGCCTGTGAGAAGCTCTGTGAGACATGGGGCAGCTACCAGGACAAACAGGGCTTCACCAGCCGACACCTGCTGACGCTGCACGACGAGGGCACCACGGGCAGCTTCCAGGGCGACTACCGCATGATCGGCTGCGGAGAGGGCTTCAGCTGCGCAGACAGGACCAAGCCGAAGGAGAAGATCGTGTGTGGTCAGGGCGGCAAGTGGGCGGACGCCACACTCGACTGCCGACAGGACTGCGTCGTGCCTTTCGACAAGTCGCCCCGCTACGAGCCATCCCTCGCCGTGTTGACCAACCCACCCAATGACACCAAGCACGGCACCGTCTTGGATGTTGGCTGCAAGGGCGGCACAGACCTCGAGGAGAGCCTCCCGGCCTCCTTGGCTCGCGACAAGACCAAGTGCCTGGACGGCGAGTGGACCCCTGTCGGCCTTCGGTGTCATGCTATGTGCCCCGAGTACCCTGACCTCGGTGTATCGGTGTATAAGGTGACCCCGGCCCGAGGGTCTGGATCGCTCAAGTATGGTGCGACGCGGACCATCGAGTGCGAGCCGCCCTACGTGCCGATGGCTGGGCCGATGCGGGATGTGGTTTACTGTCTCAATGGCAACTGGACCAGGCGCACCATCCACTGTGCGAAGGGTTGCGACACCTGGATCCCTGTGTCACATACCGTCATCGTGCGGACTTCGGCCACCACAGAGTCGGCCGTGGATGGATCCAAGAAGCACCAGCTCAACCAGGTATTCATTATCCACACACAATTATGTCTCTCAGTCAGACGGAAAAGACTGTTTCTCCGTCCTTTCCTCTCTCTGCTGGGTGGATTGGATGCAGGTGACAGGACCTCACCACTGGATTGACGTGGGCTGCGACCCGCAGACGTCCTCCCCCTCCTGCCGCAAAGCCGCCAGACCCGGCTGTGTGGAGGACCCTCAGCGCATCTTCTGTATTGAGGAGAAGTGGACGCCGCCGCTCCGCCTGCAGTGCATCGAGAACTGCCCCGGGTACGACGAGTTCCCCCTCAACAAAGACCCAACGGTGGCCCAGCGGTATGAAATAGCCTTTGGCGGCAACAGACACGGCGACGTGACGGTGGTGAGGTGTCGGGAGGGGTATGACAGCGTCATAGGGGGGATGGGGATGGGGCTGGAGGAGGACCGTGTGCGGTGCTGGTACTCCCACTACGAGCACGTCACCATCCAGTGCCTCCGTAAGAGACACAGACAGACACGGCAGGCGGCAGAGGGCGCCTCTGAGAGAGGAATTGCCTGTCGTTCAGAGAGGTGTGGGCCATATACGCGTCTGCCTGACGGCTTCATCGTCCGCGGTGACGGGACGAGACACGGTGACACCCGCACCCTCCAGTGTGACGCAGACAAGGGGTTTTTGCCACTCATCGACACATCACAACATGAGGGGCAGGGAGGGACGGAGATCCACAACACCGAGACCGTGACATGCATCGACGGCTACTGGTCGCCACGTACTCTGCAATGCAGACGTAGGCCACACAGACATGGATGATCGAGGCAGGCTTCTTGTCTGTGTGCGTGTCTACATGTGTCGCTCGTTCACTCGTTTGCCCTCAGACAGTTGTTCGAACAAGTTTCCCTCTCAGCTGTGCCTCCAGCCTGCCGGGAGCCTCAAGTGCGAGGGGCTATACGTCATCGCACTCAATCACACCAACACTGGCAGACCGCCCACCGAAATGCCACAGACATTCCACCCGGGATCAACGATACTCTTCAGGTACTGATGCCTGACACAAAAGGATGGCTGTCGGTAACCGTGTGTGCGTGTGTGCAGCTGCGACCGCTCGCGCGCCTTCTCTCCCGACGGTGAGGACCCCCTCACCCCTGACAGCGAGCGGATTGAGCCCCATGTGCTTCGATGTCTCGGCGACGCAGACCCCCAAAACGCATGGACGGCATTCCACCTCACCTGCAGGCGTAAGCACGGGCCAGGCAGGGGAAGCCGCATCCGCCTTAATTGCTGTGTGCCTCCCCTTCTACGCGTCGATGGGTGCAGGGGCCTGCCCTACGTCAGCTTTCATCCGGCTAGGTGCCCGTTTTCAGCAGCGTTGGGCAGCCGAGTGGGTCGACACACGATACGAAGGCAAGTCGTGGCGGTACTCGCAGCTGGTGGAAGCACAGGCCAACCACGAGCTGCCGCCCTACCTGGCACACAACAGCCGCGTCTCCATCACATGCGCCGAGGGGTACACCAGCCGGGACGCCGCGCAGCGGGTGGGGGAGGGGGTCGAGGGGAGTGAGGAGATCACGTGCTACGACGGACGCCTTGAACCCACGCCCACACTCGATTGCGCACGTACTAACAAATTGCATGACAGGCTGGAGACGGATCATTCATTCATTGTCCCTTTCTGCGTTTCAGGCGCGTGTGGGCCATTTCGCCCTCTGGGGTCGGCCTATGCGGTCGAGTCCTTTCCATACGCTGGCGCGAACTTCCATGGGGCGCGTCGGCACATCAAGTGTTCCCCTGGAGCTGACGCGCTGACCGAGGCGACGGAAGCAGTCAGCGAGTGCCAAGACGGCACGTGGGACGACTTCACCCTACTCTGTGAACGTACTTATTACGAATGAACACAGCACAGCACAGCACAGCATACTCGAGAGGCGATTTCCCATTCCTCTCTGTGCGTGTGTGGTTGCCTGGTGTGTCTGTGTGTCAATATGTCTGTCTGTCAGGTAGCTGTCCTCCCCTGGCTGACCTGGATGGCAATCGCTACGTCCTGACGCAGACCATCAAGGGCAAGCGCGACGCGGCCAAGGGTGCGGGCGCCACCTATGAGATCAGGTGTCAGGGCGACCTGTACCCAAGCACCGGGGAGAGCCCCTACATCGTCAAGTGCGAAGAAGGTGACTTTACGCCCATCCTCATGACTTGCGGACGTAAGCCACTCACTCCCCTCACCCACCCAACGATGCGCACGACAGACAGTAAGTATCACTGACCCCCTCCTTCCCTCTCGTGCACGTCACGCAGGAAACTGCCAGGGTCCGCCTTTCTACTCGTCTCGGTATCGTTGGCGTTGGGTGTCGCCTCCCTCGGGGCCCACACCCGCCTGGCACCACATGGCCAGAGTCAACCTCACATGCGCACCGGGGCAGTCGGCCGTCAGGAGCGAGCACGGCTATGAAATACTGGCCTGCATCGACGGACAGTACACCAAACGGACACTCGTGTGCAGGCGTATGTGAGACAAGCAAGGGATGACAGACAGGACGGCAGGGCAGGGCAGGGCAGGACAGGACAGACACACACACACACACATGGTCCTGGGTGTGTCTGTCCTGGGTGTGTGTTGTGCAGGGGACTGTCCGGCGGAGTACCCTTTGAGGCCAGGCTATACAGTGGCAGCAGGGTCGGCGTCTGTGGCCTACCCTGCGCCCGGTCCCGTCCCCCACGACACCGTCCGTCGCATCGAGTGCGACACAGACAATCACTTCCGGGCTGTCGAAGGCGCGACGGAGGAGGGCGGGGCAGCCGAGGTTAAGTGCATCGACGGAGAATGGACATTCATGCCTCTTGTCTGCAGACGTAAGCAGGCGTGGTGGTGAGAGAGGGCACACATGCACCGCACCCACACATCCATCCATCAGATGCACACATTTCTGTCTGTCTGTATGATTGACATGCTTGCATGTCCAGAGGACTGTCCGTTCCTGCAGCTGGCCGAGACACCGTCGGACGGCCACCGTGAGGGCTTCTGCTACATCCCCTTCCAGTACGAACTGCTCGACCCCAAGGCCGTCATGCCCTTCGCATACATGCCCTCAATCGACGGCACCATCGACACAGACACACTTGCAGCCGCCACACAAAACAACACTAATACCAATAGCAATGGGACAGTCATCCCCCCAACCACCAATGTGTCGCTGCTGGCACAGAGGGAAGACCCAGACCCACCGACTAATGCCAATGCCACCACACCCACGCCCGCACCCAACGGCACTGTCGACGACATCCTGCAGGCCCTCCTCGGGCCGGACTTTAATGCCACAACACTCGACAGCAATGCCACAGCAGGAGGACTGGAGCTGTCACAGCCGCGATCCATCTACGACTTGGACCCCTTCTACGCCATACGGCTCGTCATTTGAACCGGCCATGGCCACCCCACGGGCTGGAGGTGCGGCTGCGGTGCAGGAAGGGCTGGACACAGGCTGGCGAGGGGGAGAGTGAGGCAACCATGACATGCATCAACGGCACCTGGTCCAACATCAACCTCGTATGTGCACGTCAGTGCGTGAGACACGACAGACAGCCCGGGCCACACACACAGACAGACAGACACTTAGGGGGAAGGAAGGAAGACGTGTACCCATCTGTCTGTGCGTGTTCTGGTGTTCTGGTGTTAATTGTGGTGTAGCTGACGGGCTGTGCTGACAGGCGAGTGCACCAAGTCCCATCTGATCGAGTCCCTGCCCGACCACCTCTGGGCGCAGGTGGCCCTACCATCCCCCTCTCCCCCACCCGACAACAGAGACGCAGAGGGCCTGGGCGAATGGCAAAAGACCATGCCGGACCACCTGCCGTACCACACAGCCGTCCGAATCGCATGCGAGAAGGGCACCTCGACAGTGCACCAGTGCACCCTCGACAACGCCCTGAGTGACTCCCCAGGTGCGCAGGGCAGGGGAGGGGTTCCTGCTGGGGCGGTCGGTGTTGGTCAGCCAGCGGACTGGGAAGAGGTCAAGTGCAACAATGGCACCTTCTCTGCACGCACCCTACACTGCCAAAGTACGTATGTACCCACCGATAGATAGATAGGCCGAGAGACCGACGCGGGCCAAGCCACCCACCCACACACCCCTGTCTCTTCTCTGCCTGTGTCTGTCAGAGTCGTGTGACTTGAACTGGCTGAAGGATTGGGAGCAGCGGATGAATGGGTACTACGTGATAGCCAAGGTGGACCCGCCGGCGCAGCAGAACGTCTTGCCGCCCGGCGGCTGCGTGTCGATCATATGCGGCCGCGCCAAGCGAGCCCCGGGGCGGGAGGGGGAGAGCGGGGCGCCCGGCAGACAGACACACGCCACCCACGGCACCAAGAGCCCCTCCACTGTCACATGCGAAAATGGAAACTTCTCGGCTATCCCTGTCTTCTGCTTCCGTAAGCCTGCACAGCACAGCACGCCGGCCGGCCTGCGTGTCAGCCAACAAATGCATCGATGATGGAAAGATCCATCTTCATTGTGTGCGTGGCAGAGGAGTGTGGTGTGGTGCCTGTGGATGTGTTGAGCACGCTGGCGGTCCGGACGGACACCGACAAGGCCCCGGGCGAGACCACCCCGCCCGAGACCATTGTGCGGCTCAGGTGTCAGCCCGGATACTCATCAATCGGCGGACCACCCGGGGGGCAGGACGAGATCAAGTGCCTCGACGGCATTTGGTCCAAACCACTGCTCGACTGCAAAGGTACCTGAGTTGGGCCACACACGGATCTGGTAGTCTACTGCAGTGCCAAGATGTGTGTGGTCATGCAGCTGACTGTTCGGCCTTTCCGACGATGAATCCTTCCGGTGCGTATGTGGTGATGGGGGAGGGCCTCACACACGGGTCGACGCGAACCGTCGAATGCGCCCCGCACCACCATCCGGCAGTGGACGGCACGCCGGCCGCGGGAGCATCGCAGTGCGTCGACGGCTCCTGGACCAAAGTGGACATCCTCTGCTTCCGTATGTGTGCCATCCATCCGCCATAGATGGAGAGGCTTCTTTGTGTGGACGGTTGGGTACTGCCTGTGTGTTGTGTGCCCTGCCCACCAGGTGACTGTCCGCCATTTGAGCAGGGTGTGCCTCTCGACCCTGTCCGCTACCACGTCTTCAACATGCAAAACGGTCCGCAGATCAGATGTGTGGTGCGCTGCGCACACGGGAGTTTGCGTGCGCCTCTACATATACTGCAGATTTCCGTCTGAGCGAGCGTCACGGTGCCAGGTACAAGGTGACTTGTCAAGAGGAGTCGATGTTCTTCCACGAGAGGACCCGGGGGGCCTCGCTCATGATGACATGTGTCGACGGCACCTGGACACGCCCCGCAGAGGAGCACACTGACGTCCTACCGCTCTCTTGCAAGAGTAATGTACCTACCTACCTGGCCACGGACACACAAAGAGCCATACATATCGAAGCAGCCTAAATGCATGTCTCTCTGTGTGTCTGTTCTAAGCAGGGGCGTGCAGCGACTTCGGTGGGTCGACTAACATGACGGCGGAGTGGGGCTACGAGCTGCTGAAGCAAGAGGGCACCACAGACACGTCCATCCTGTTCTCCGGCACGCAGTTCCAGGTCAAGTGCCTCGACACCCACTCGGCCGATCTGGAGCGGATCCAGCCAGACCCCAAGCTGGGCATCACCGAGTGGCGGGGAGACCTTGAGGGCACTGCAGAGCCTGTCGACATCGTCACTTGCAACGACGGGCTGTTCACCGACAGGCAGCTCTACTGCCATGGTGGATGGAAGAACTTTGTCCGATCGCATCCCCCTGTATACCTGTGTCTCTGTCTGTCTGTCGGAGTGCAGCTAAGTGTCCCGAGTACGCCCCTCCATCGCCACAAGAGGGGTACCGGGTGCGAGAGTGGAGCCCCCCAGGAGCAGAGTACAAGAAGCAGCTTCTGGTCAACCACGGCACCTCACGAGCCGTCTCATGCAACCCACTCATGTACGTAAGCATCTCATCTGTGCGGGTGGGGTGGAAAAGACAGGGACAAACAACCGATGGATGGATGGATGGCTGGATGTGCAGTCGGACATCTGGTGAGTGGAAGGGCCACCGCATGGGCTGGTATGCCATCCAGGACGGCTATGGTGTGCTGAATGACGGCGACAGCGGCGAGAAGTTCGCCGTCGTCGAGTGCCGGGACGGCAAGTGGACCGACCTTTACATCAAATGCGAAAGTACGCGATAGAATGTCCGACGACGGAATGTCAGAATGTCTGTGTGGTCTGGTGTGTGTGTTCTGTGGGTGGGTGCAGAGGTGTGTTCGGAGCCCATCACGACTTTGCTAGAGGAAGCGTGCATCCTCCACCATCTGGAGACTGCGAGCCTAGACGCACTGGAGCCCTGCTACCAGGACGATAAAGGCATGCAAACACCAAGAATGGAGGGAGAGATCATTCATCTCCCTTGGATGGATGGTTGTTCCCTCTCTCTGCTGCACGCAGGCAATTTGCTGATCAACGACTTCAAGAAGAGGCGTGCGTGTGCCGAGAAGCGGTGCACATCCGTCGACAAGGAAGTCTTCTACTCGCCGTGACCATACACACACACACACATACACATATGGATGGATGGATGGATGTGTGGATGGCGTGACAGCTACCGCGTTGCCCGCACCATAGTGCAGATGGACAAGGCGGTGCTCAAGAACATTCCCAGCCGAGACCAGAGACACATGATCATAATGGCACGAAAGGTGCGGACCGGAGGAGGGGGAGGGCGGAGGGCGGAGGGAGAGACACAGGCACATCGCCCTGAATCTCTATCCCTCCCCCTGTGTGTGTCTTGTGTGTGTATACTTGGGCTGTGATGGATGCGATGCAGTCCGGCGATGTGCATCTGGTGGTTTGTGACGTGACGCGCATGTACGCCCCCGAGTGGCGCGACAAAACTGCCTTTCTCGTGCGCGACCCCCAGGTCAAGGAGGCAGTGGCGCGGGTAACGTGTCGAGACGGCAGGTGGGACAGAATGCCACTCAAGTGCTCCGGCAAGCAAGCCGCACAAACACACACACACACACACACACACAAAAACAGGCAGGCAGGCAGGCAGACTGCAGTGGACAATTAATTATTCGGGCACGTGTGCGTGAATGCAGCTGGTTGTCGCGGGGCGTTCGACATTTATCACGTTGACAGGATGGCCAAGGTGTTCCGGCGGGGAGGCCCTGAGGCGGACACACAGTGCTCTACGGCGGGGCAGACACTCCAGGCCGTCGGCGCCCTGTCCTATGGGGAAAAACACGCGCTCATTCAGAAACACGAACAGAAAAGGCAGCAGACCGATGTGGCATCAGTGTTGCCGCTGGTGGCTCTGCTCTTCATGGCTGGCGAGCTTGCCCACGCCTTCTCAGGAAACCCCCCTCTGCGCCACCTGAGTGACTTCTTGCTCCCTCTCTGGACGGCGAACCATCAGCATGAGCCGGCCCCCGCATATGTCGCCTTCATTCTCACCTCCCCCGCGACCAACAATACCCTGCTCGACATGCGAGACACTGGTGGTGGCGGGGAGGTGATGATATCTCTGGCTGAAGGCGGTCTGCTGCCGGGGCGCCAGGACGCTGCACATGACGGGAGGGTGCGTGGCTGGGGCTGCCCAGGCCAGCCAGGGGTGGGTTCGGCGTGTGTCGTCGGAGCGCCGTCTGGCGCCTCCAAGTACGCTTCCCTCTCTGCTCGCGACGCACGGCCATCCAGTGCAGCTGAAGATCGGCAGCGGGTTGGTCAGCCCTGCGGAGGTCCTTCTCTCGGGTTGGGATGTGTCTCCCGCCTTCAGAGGGACCTCTCCAGGTGATACCATCCCTCCAGCACCATCGGCTGCGGGGAGGTTCGTAGCGGTTGACGGCAGCCAGCCGCCTCCCTCGTCTGCTATCGGTGACCATGGGTCCTTTCCTTCTTGGCTGGCTGCATCATTCGCTTCTGGTGGTGTGCACTCTGAAGGCGCCCCTGTGGTCGAGAATGCTGACAGAGGAGAGGCACCGTCTCCCTGGCGGTCGCTGAAACGTTGGCTGCTCGGTGGTTCTCTTGACTCGCCGGCCGCCGCGCCATCTTCGTCTTTTGTGGAGTTGGGAAGTGGCACGGACCCCGACACCAACGGCCTCCCGTCTAGCAGCGATGTTGTGCAGAAGGTGGTCAAACACGCGGACGAGGAGCGGAATAAGGGTGACACTAAGACGGCCGTCGAGAAGGGTGACAAGGCCGGCGAGGGAAGCGCCGAGGACAGTGTGAGCAACGTCACGTATGAGTTCGACTTGAAAGACGAAGCGACTGAGGGCGGCCTTGTCGCGTGGGTCACTGCCTCATTATCACAGACAGACAGACAGACAGACAGACAGAGATTGTCGATCCCATCATCATTCTGTGTCTGTGTGTCTGCAGGCACCACACGTACGTCAGCAACCAGAACTGGACCGACATCCTCTACAACACGTCGCTCGAGCAGAGGCTAGACCACTTGCCAAACGCCCCCTACGGCCCGGCAATGTCACGCGCGTTTGAGATCTTCTTCTACATCAACCAGGAGAAACGGGGCGCCACCGGCAGCCCATTCGGCGCCTCGTGTAAGCTGATGGAGGGCATCCACCCCAAGGCGCACGAGTACCTCATATGGGGCCCTGGCTGCTGTGACCCAGCCAACTGCTGGCATGGTTTGAAGCCGCCTGACAAGAACAGGGCAGGGTTCTGCAAGGGACACGTATATGGCAGAGGAACATGGGTGGGTATACACACTCGTCCGCACAGATGACATTCACAAGACGCACGCGCACCCGGGCTGCAGCCGTGTGGGCGTGGCGTCTGTCTTGCACATGTGTGTATCGTCTGTCGTCATGCCATGCAGGTTGCGATACAGTACGGGAGGTACACGTGGCGGCACGTCGATGAGAGGGGATATCCCACCGACTTCGTCCGCGGCACGCCCAACGAAGTCAGCGTCAGCTATGTCATGTGCACTGCAAGGAAGTGGCACGTGGCCATATACCCACCATAGATCGATTCGATGGCTACCTAGAGAGCTGGGTCGATCAGTCATTGTGACGGCAGTCTGTGTTTGTGTGACGTAGCGTTTTTTGATTCAGAGGTGACTGATCTCAGCATTCAGATGCATTGATGTCGACGGTCTGTGGTGATGTTAGTTACATGCACTCAGAGGTGTCTCTTCGTTCGTTCCTCTCTTGCTCTTCAGACAAACAGACCAATGGCATCAGTCACCTGAAGACAATGAGACACAACACTAGGAGACATGTGCAGTGCAGATCACACAGACAGACAGGCGGCTGAGGCACACACACTGAGACTCACCACGCTCATTCCTTGGCTTGCCTTTGGTGTGTGCGGCGGGTGAGGCAAACGTCTTCCTTCTTCTCTGTGACATCAGGAAGCCCTTCTCCACCAAATCTCGATCCGTCTGCACCACACACACGCAACACGATGGGAGACACACACATCCGTCCGTCTGTGTCCTGTCTGTCTGTCTGTCTCTCTGTGTGTGTGTGTGTGTGTGTGTGTGACCTGTGCGTCGAAGTCTGACGGGAAGACGCCCTTTGCCTCCATCGTCTCTGTGGCCATTGTGGACGGTGCGGCCTGGCGGCTGGGCGGCTGCTTGGGTGGTGGTGGTGTCACGGCACTGGGCGGCTCTGGTGGTTGTGTCTTGCCTCGCTCCGCCAACTGCAGCTTGTGGACGGCTGCCTGAAGGCACACACAGACAGAGAGCGATGGATGTGGGTGTCATCTGTGTGTGTGTGTGTGTGTGTGATTGCGTGCCTGCGCCTCCGCCCCTGTCAGTTGGTCGGTGGGCAGCACATGAAGTGGGTCGGTGTCCTGATTGTCGTACGACAAGCAAGAGCCCGTCGGCAGTGCGGCGGTGAGGAGGAGAAAGCCCGCAAGCAAGACAAGCTCCCTCGCCATCATGGCTGATTCGCCCGCCCCTCAGCGCGTTAATTGAGTCGATGAGGAGCCCTCCTGTGTCGGTCGTTGGTCGATTGCGTACATGTGTGGGTACTCATTCTCTGCACAAGGAGTGGGAGGGGGGATGGAGGGTTGGTCAGAGTTGCAATTGCTCAGATGGGATCCCTTCGTCTGTGTGTGCTCAATTGTGTGACGACGGAGCATCGATCAATCACAAGTACGTCGCGTGTCAGGTCATTCCTTCCTTGTCTCTCATATGCATGGACGAAGGCACACTCTCATTGGTCCATGTACGTCATGTTTGTGCAAATCCACCGGCCGGGGAATTGAATTTCATCCATTCACTCATTTCATCAAGGGTCTTACGCACACGGAGGCAGTCCTACGCGAGCATACAAACACACGCATCACACACGCACACACACACACGTAGAAGCCCCGCGTCAAGGTCCTCCCTACCTATCTCTCTGTTCCTCCGCCTCGCGAACACACAGGCACATGCACACACAGCCAGTAGTCGCTGCACAGATGGGGCGAGGCGGGGTGGGCTATCGCACTGCGGCTGTCTTGTGTGGTGTTTGTGTTGTATGTGTGTGTGTATGTATCTGTGTGTATCTGTGTGTATCTGTGTGTATCTGTGTGTATCTGTGTGTGTGTGTGTATGCCACAATCAGTGATGGGTCTTTCTTTCTGTTGGTGTTGCCGTGTGTGTGGTGTGGTGTTGTGGTTGGTGGGTCCGTCGGTGGATCCAACTACGTTCTATCTGCTCTGCTCTGCTCAGTCGTCGGATGCCTCGATCTCACGCTCGTAGCGCTGCTGGTCCTCCTCAGCCTGAACACACCACAACACACCACAACACACCACACAACACACACATCCATGTCTGCGGTGACGTGCCGTCCATGTATGTGTTTGCATGTTTGTGTGAGATGCATCCGTGCCATATCGACGTAGGGCTTCTTGTCCTCATCCTCCATCTCACGCCACTCCTTGCCTGCACACACCACACACCACACCACACACACACACACACACCATGTCCGTATGGCGCCTCCCCAAATGCATCCGGCCCATCCATCGCATTACCCATTTTCTTGTCGATGAGGTTGGCCTTGATACCCATCTCCTTCAACTCCTCACGACGACCCGCAGCATAGTGGGAGTCTGCACACCACACCCATGTGCCGCGCCGCCCCACACATCAGGGAATGCACCAGGAAATTCACCGGCCACACACGTCGTATGGATGGATGGACCGATGCCCCACCGGTGTGGTGTGCTTACATGCGTTTTTGGGCTTCTTGGGGTGGTCCTTCTTGACACCCCCGCCTCGCTCTTCACCTGTTGAGCGGCTGCGCCCTTTGCCACCTGTCCACCGTCGCTCATCAAAGCCCTTCGCGAAGGGCTTGCCTGGCGTTCTCTTCTGCCTCGGCATAATGACCGCACTTACACTTAGAGCGGTCGATCTGGGCCGCATGCATTTACAAGTGGCGGGGGCACCTGCAGTCTCCCCGAAGATCACGGTGCGAGGAAGCGGCAATGTTGACCTCCTGTATCGTCACCTTAGGCTTAATTACCTCCACCAAATGAATCTCGGGAATCTGACAGACACGCAGCGCAGACAGGTGGATGGATGGATGGATGGATGGACGGCGGAAAGTGGTGTGGACAATGCATTCATGAATCATCTGTGTGAGGGTACCTCCACAATGCGGTCCCGCACGTGGACCTCCTGGTGCACGGGAATGTGCAACACATGGGGCTCACCAGCGGCTGGTGGGGCCTGCAGCAAGACATCAAATCGCACCATCTTGACTACATTGTTGACCATTAGTCGTCTGCCGGTAGGCCGCAGCGGCTCTCTTGGTTGTGTATTTATGTCCGTATTTATGTCCGGCGAGTGTGGATAGCTGAGTTTCTCACCGTCTGCGGAGGGAGCGGCTGTGACTGCATACTCGCGTTGCCTGGCTCAGGGCCGAGATAGAAATTCACGCGCATGCAAGAATTTTCAGATCGGTACCATTGGCACGGACTCACTTTGGTGTATTGTGTCGGCCCGTGCCGGGCACTCTGCTCGTCCGGGGCAGCAACAGATCGTGAGTCGTCAGACTTCTGAGGCGGAAAAGATATATGCTCCGTGTCTCCTCAAATCACCCTGTGCGTGTAAGCGAGCAGCCAGAGAAGATGAGTTCATCGCGAGATCAAAAATTAGCAAGGTACTGTTACAGAGTTGGCTGGCCAGAAGACACGGATACAAAGCACTCAAAATTCTCTCTTCGTTTTCTACACGCATACACGGAGCAGTAGCAGTGTATGCATATGCAGAAACCCCTTTCTTTGCCGCTGGCCACGCTCATGCCGCCACGCCCTTTGGATTCGACTCGACCCTCAGTGATTGCCTCTGTGCCCTGAGTGATGCACCACAGTTTGCACATACAATGTCCGCCGATGCTCCGAACCCCTCGACGCCGAGGACGTCTCCAAAGAGGATGCGGTTTTGATATCCGCAGTTCGGGCAGGGGCCACCCCGCACCTCACAGGGGGAAAACCTCAGCGGGGTGGGAAAATCGCTGCTAGATACAACACACACACACACGGACAGTACGCTCACTTACTCCTTGAGGAAGAGGTTCTCGGTGCCGTCCATGGCCAGGGTCCAGATGATGGGCGAGCTGATGAACAGATTGAGGAAGGGGTTCACACTCCGCAGCACAGGGATGAACTCGAACGCCAGGAACGACCACAGCACGGTAGATAAGAACATCCACGGCAAATACACCATGTAGTTGCGGATACGATCTTTCTTCCACGTCACACGACAAACGCCTGAGTGGGTGGACAGACAAGACAGGTGGGTGGGGTGGGGTGGAGAGAGGGGTGGATGCAGCCAACAGAGTGAGTGCAGTACGATCAAAACACAGAGAATGATTAACGGTCGGACCGCCGGCCACAAGCTTCAATAAGCGCCCGGCTGCCTGGCTGCCAGGCTGTCCACCCACGTACCTACCTGAAATCCTACCTGTATCGACGGCACACTTGGGGTCGCTGGTGACGGCGATCCGGCTGCCCTGGTTCCTGAGTTCGGCTTTGAGGGTGTCAAATTCTTCGTCGGTCACGATGGGCTGCCCCTTCATGTATGCCGACATGGCGTTGAGGAAGAGGGTCTCGTTGCGCGTGAGGAATATCACATCACTGCCCTCCCACGCCAAGTCCTGCTTGAGCAGATCGAAGTCGCCGTCAGTCAGCGCCTGCCAACCGCTCAAGTAGTACGACTGCAGCGCATCGAGGAATACACGCTCCTTTTCAGCTGTCGTCAGCTTGACAGGGTTGCCGCAGTTGTCGAGCCGGACAAACTCCTCCCGGTCCTCTTCCTCACCCGCCTGCAGGTATCAGATAGATAACAGATTGACAGATTGGTGAAGTGAAATGAATGAAATGAAGGAAGGGATAGACGGACACAGTCTCCGCTGATGCTCATACCCACTCTCATGATGCCAGTCGGCTTCCCAGTGCGGCAGCCGCTGCTCGCAGAAGGTGAGGGTGTCTTCTCATGCTTGTCGGCTGTTGCCTTGGCTGGGCATGTGGAGGGGCATGTAACGAGGGCCGGCAGAGACATAGTCGGAGGGGCCGTGAGGGCATCCCATGTGATGACAGCGCTGAACGGCAGCGCAGTGAGGTAGACATACGGCTGCTTGGCGGGGAGGGCCGGCTGAGCGGGCACTGTGGGCAGCACGAGGGCGTGACAGAAATACGGCAGATCCGCAGTCGTCACGTTGGGCCCGTTGCCTACACATACACACACGCATAAGAATCACATGTGAATTGACCCTCTCTGTGTGTGTTCTGTGACGATCGGGCGGGCCTGAGTCAAGTTTAGCTTCGTCAAGTCCTGTGTCTCTCTGACGAAGCTAAAATATCTAAGCGGGAAATTTGCAATCCCCTTGCCGGCTCGTCTCCTCAAAGTTGGCGGACATTGGCAGGACATTTGGCGAGGGCAGCTGTTCGTCTTTGCGCGTGGGTGCGTGTGCGATTGATCTATAAGCCTGTTGTCAGAGCCATTTATGCGAGATGGTCCCTCGATTGGTGGCATGCACTCGCGTCTCTCCCTGTCTCTCCCTGTGTCTCCACAGCCAGCCACATACAGGAATCTTGCACATACGGCAGACAGGCAGGGAAGCCAGGCTATGTGTCTCTTAGTTGATGGCAAGCTTAGCCATCATGTTCGTCAGCGAATCGACGGGGTCGAGTCTCTGGCATTTCTCCCTCCCCGGCTCTCTCAAGTCGTGAACCTCAGGTGATCGCTTCCCCACTCGCCTCCTTGGGGCGATCCTCGCGCGCCGACGACGGGCGATTTCCTCGGCTTCCTTCCGCTTTCTCCGCTGTGTCTGGGCAGAACTGCTCCAGTCGGGGATCGGGAGGAGGGCAGGGCGCATCCGGCTTCCTAAAATACATGTGCAGATTGGGGTGACGGCGGCCTCCCTGTTGGCCGCTCAAGCGCCCGGTCCCATTGTCGTCGAACCGCACCTCCTCATCGAACCTCACCGTCTTCTTCTTTTCCCGCTGAATGGCTGGCTTTGTAGCCGCACTCTTCAAGATACCCTTCAAAGCCGTCGACCCCTTGGTTGACGCATGTGCAGCCGACGATTCCTTTTGCTGCATCGTTCCCGAAGTGCCGGTCTTGTCACTGCGGATCGGCAATGCGGATCGGCAATGCCTTCCCCGTGGTCTCGCTCTCAGAGCCGGTCGAGTCCTGCTGCAGCTTGAAGTGTGTCTCTTCGCTGCCGTTGTGGTCATTGTGGCTTGTGTCCGTCGCCAATGGAGGTATGCTGAGCGGGTCTGAGGCCAAGCACATCGATCCATTCATATGATCATGCCCTGTAGTGACGTGTGGTCGTGATAAGCTGTTTCTTTTCTGCGACCACCGACAGCACCAGCACTCGTGGCTGTGGAGCGGGGATCCGCTGAGGTCTGCATCCAAACAAACACGAGATGCAGCCGTGTTTCTGCTGATGTGTCCGTTTGTTGTGCACCGAGCTAAGGTAGCCTTCGCAGGGCAGAACAGAGCCACCAGCGCCCTTCCCATGGCCAGAGCCTTCTTGTCGCACCAGAGACGGGAGGAGCTGACAGCCAAGAGACAGAGCGCGGCCCACACTGTCAGTTGTCTTGACGACCGGAAGACCCTGAAGCAGGTCCTGGACAGAAACTTCACCGTGATCGATGTGCTGGGTCATAGCTGCCTGAGGCTCAGAGTCTGTCGTCCCCTTGCTGCCTCCGTCTGTCTCTGAGTCAGTCTCCAGCTCGGCCTTGAAGTTCTCTGGTGGGGGCGCGGGCTGCCTCTTCCACAGGCGATTGTACCAACTTATCAGTGTAAGAAGCATGATTGACGTCTCTTTTTGCCGACGGGGGCTGCAAGGGAAACGGAGAGGGGGTAAAATTTTCTCCTTCTGGGAGCTCAACTTTTCAGCTTGCAATTGTCAGCTTGGCTGTCCAGGCTGCCGGAACTTTTTGGCAAGGGCGCTTTCTCTCGATTCGCATGAGGAACGCACGCATCGCATGAGGCCTCCAATGTACTCCAATGGTCTCTTTCTTCATGGCTGCAGTGAGGTGAGGGAGTACAGTGTCATTGGATGGGCCGTATACGGGCCTCGGATGCAAAGCGCCGACGGCGAGTGGCGCACTGTTGAGTAAGGGGCGATGGAAGCTGCACAGAGCACAACGTCTTGTCCATCCATTCTGTTGCATTTGTCCATCCATTCTGCAGGTTGTCGAACCAGGCGTTTCACCAGTACGAGGAGATCAAGGGCCATCTGCCGGAAGTGGGCGGTCGGGAGCAGGGCCAGATCTTCACCATGCCGGAGAGTGTACGCTCGCATACGCAGAGAACAGAGAGAGAGAGAGGGACGCGTCCATCCATCCATCCATCCATCTGTGTGTATCTGTCCATCTGTGTGTGTGCCTGTCTGTCTGTCTGTCTGCAGTATTGGCGTTATAAGCTGGGCCTGCACATGTCGTCTGGGTGGCTCCACATGGGCAACCCCCTGTATGTACCATTCATCCCACCCAGCCACACTCACCCCTTCCACCATTTGCACTGATCATGTGTGTGGTGTATATTCTTTTTCGTTGTGTGCTGCTCAAATTGTCTCACGTGTGCAGGAAGGAGCCTTACATGATGATGTTCCACCTGCCCAGGGCTGCGTCGCAGACCGAGCCAGTGGCAGCTGATCCCGTGCAGCACGTTACGCAGCAGGCCAACAGCAAGGTGCAGCAGGCGGGCAGCAACAAGGACAGCAAGAACGAGGACAAGAAGCACGTGAAGAAAAAAGCCCCCCGTCACCCGGAGGCGGCCCCAGCAAGCGTGCCCGCAACGCATAGCCATACAACTACACACACGAGTATACAAGTACACCCAGTCGACAGAGACACAGAGACAGATGTAGTGTGTGGAGTGCCAATCCTCTCTGCCTGATCCGGATGGTCTTGGTGTCTGTCTGTCCGGACGTGAGTGTGGATGAATGAGTGCGGATGGATGGATGGATGCTATCGCCTGGACGTTTGAGTGCCGTGAAGTGACTTACGTGTATTGGGGCGAGAGATGGGGAGGTAGGGGGCTGCCTGATTGGCCGGGAGAGAGAGGGGTTCCGCAGAAGGGCAGGTCGGCAGGTAGGCAGGGAGACAACTTTCTCTCTCTCACTGGACTTTACACCCACCCACTCACTTCGTCGATGCTGTTTCTTTCCTTCTGGATGGATGGGTTGCTTCTCCTTTACATGGATGTTGGGCGTGTGGTGCTGTATGGGTGTCTTGTGACGATGCGGGATCATTCATGGGACGACTGGATGGCGGGCGGGTCTAACTTCGACAGACTTCCAATCGTTTCTTTATGGACTGACTGACTGTCTCCATCCACATGAAGACGACAGCGAATGAGTCCCATGACGACGGACGGACACAGAACACCCCCAACACACACACACACACACACACACAGACGTGCAATGACGCAGCATCCATTCATCCCATCTGCGTCACTTGCACGGTCGCCATAAAGGCGCCCCTCCCTCCCTCCCTCCCTCCCTCCCGCTATCCATAGGCACACACTGATGTGTACGTCAGTAGCTTAGACACACACACACACACACACATTAGTCAGCACACATGGCGGTATGGATAAACACACCGACACCCACACCCACACCCACCCCATACACACACACAGATGCCTCCCGACCGGCCGGGAAAAAGTGACTGACGCACACAGAGACAGACCAGTAAGTACTTAACAGTCTTATGAATCGCACTCACTATGTATGTCGATGCATGTTCCGACTGACTGTCAAAAAGCAGTCCTCCCCCACCACCCACCCTACCTATGACTAGAAAAGCTGATGGCTCCTCGCCCATCCATCCATCCATGTCGACGCAAGGGGCCACCAGCCGATGACGAGACATACATACACTTAGTGACTACACACACACTCACTGGACAGACAGTTAGTTACACGCACTCATGTATTGCTTATTATGAATCAAGATGGATAAAGGCACGACACATGCTTAGGCCCAAATGACGCATTCCCGCCATTGCCGGCAGCCGTCGCGGCAGTGTCCTGCGACACGTACGTGTCGCACCGCTGCTGCGCGTGCAGGCAGGTCCTAAGGATGTCCTGCAGCATGATCTCCTCCTGATACTCCTCGACCGTCATCTCCACAGACACCGCCTCCCTCCGGGCGTCCTCGGCGAGCTGCCGAATCGCCTTGCCAATCCTCACCAGCCACAAGACCTGCCGACACGCGCGACGCAGCCGCCCACCCGCCGGCAGACTCGCCATCGAGTCCTCCACTGACGACGGCCCTTCTCTCTCTCTGTCCCTGTCCTTGTCCTTGTCTAGCTTGGAGGTGCCCCGCCGGAGGAGCATCTTGAAGGACTTGGACACAGAGGGCGGCGGCATGCCGCCCATTCTGGGCGATGCGCCGTTTTCATTGGGTGGGGTGGGGGGGTGGGAGTGGGACCTGCTCAGCCGCTGCTGGGGCTTGTTGTACCGCTGCTGGTGGAGCGAGTGGCAGGGGGGCGTCCGGGGGGTGGTCCGGGGGGTGGCTGTCGAGACGGTAGCTGTGGAGTGGATGAGCTCGGTGGGTATGATGGCCCCCAGATGTTCGTGCGCCTCGTTGAGGCACTGGCCGACTGCCCGCCGGATGAACGGCCGGACCAGCGCCGACTGGACCATTTGAATGTCGAACTCCATCGACCGCATGTGGAACTGCGGCAGCGTCGCCTCCTGCATTGGATCCACACACACACACAGAGAGAGAGAGAGAGATGACGGGTGTTTTCTTGTTTGTGAGTGTGGGTGTGATGGCGAAGCGGCTGACCATGACAACGTCCACAAGGCCGCGCCTCTCCTTCTCGGTCAGATTGGAGAGGTCCAGCACACACCCTATCGAGTAAAGCTCGTCGATAAGCCCCGTACTGCACCTGCTGCCCCCACTCCCGCTCCCGCTGCCGTTGCCACTCCCATTGCCCCCGCTCCCGCCCTCCTTCTCGTCAAGGCCGCCTCTGTCCACCGCCCTCGGCACCTGTCCAAAAGCAGATCTTTTCAGCTTGACCTTGTGCTGGTCAAGCATGGCCAGCTGCCGCACCCAGCGGAAACATGACATCTTCCGCAGCACCCGCGCCACCACTGACCGCCGCTTGGGGTCGCGCGGCTCCTCCCGCCGACCCTCCTTGATGGTCTTCTGCTTCCGCCGCTCGCTGCGCTCCATGGCAATGAGTATCCACGGGCGGAGGAATGCGACGGCAGCCCAGAGGAGAAACACGAGCTGGAAGCCCAGTGCGACGGCGAGGAGCACGATCTGGACGAGGGCTTCGATGTCGAGCTCGGTTTCGAGCGTTGAGGAGAAGAAGGAGACCATCAGGAGCCCCATGAAGTTCCACAGCGAGAAGGACTCCAGTTGGTCCATCAGACGGTAGGAACGGTTGTCGTACGGCTTCCTGTTGACTGCATCCAAGCAGAAGGAAATGAGGCACACACCAACAAGCCACAACCGAATGGGGGATACAAGCAGAAAGGCTGCCATCTCTCTCTCTCTCTCTCTCTCTCTCGCTCCCTCGACCTCACCGTGCACGGCGAGGAAGAAAATGGCCAGAAACATGAGTAGCCCCAGTCTTTGCGCCTCCCCGAGGTCGGGCACCACCAGCGGCAGATCCACAGACACCTTACGGAGCATCGCAAAGGTCTCGTACCAGTAGAAAGTCGGCTCGTACCCTACACACCACGACACACACACGCCACAGGCGCATAACACGGACTGAATGTCCTTTCCGTCTGACCAACCATTGTAAAGGAACCCCAGTGTCTGCCGGACTCGGTCGTCGTAGAGCCGCCGACGCGACCCACGCATCACCAAATACAGCCACAGCGGAATACCAAATGTGTAAAGCCATATCCCTGATCGACACACACGGATGAAGGGGAGAGGTCTGTCTCTGTCTATATTGTATGGCTGATTGGATTGGCTTACATACCTCCGATGGAGAGCCAGTAGTACGGCGGGTGTCCCTCCGGGTCGTCGCCGCCGCAGAGTGCGTTGGGGTCGGCTGCGAGTCGCGGGACGTCATACTGCTTGCACTGCAGATTGATGATAAACGTCTTGTTCAGCAGCACGTGTGCCAACCACACCACAACTATAAAACTGGACAGACACGCAGAGAGAGAGAGAGGGAATGACGACAGACATGCGCTGTCTGTTTGTCGCTTCCTCCTGGCCAGAGCTCTCCAGCCCAGCCAGCCCCACCTGTGGAACGTCTGCCGGTAGATGCTGGCCCTTTCCTCTGATTTGACGTGGGCGAAGGGGATCCACACGCCATGCCGCCACGAACGGAACCTCTCCCAGACCTTTTTCCAGGCACCACCGCCCCCCTTGGCCGCCCTGCTGCCCACAAGGTCAGTCGTCACGCGGTCGATCGACGACATGACCATCTGGGTGCGGTTGATGTTGCCTGTGGCCGGCAACATGTTGTCATGCGATAGCGCGCGGCGCGGCTTCCGGCTCTCCCCCTCGCCCCTCTCCAGGTCAGCGAGCGAGGCCGCCAGCCGGGATGCGATGCCTTCCTCCGACTTGGTCTGCGAGGGTCTCAGGGAGGCCGTCGAGCTGCCGCCCTTGCCTTTTGGGGCAGTATGGGGGGGTGCGAGGGTGAGGAGGGACTCCTTCCACTCGTCCTCGGGGTCGGTGTGCTTGTGGCGCCGCTTCTGCAGCCATGTGGAGAAGAGGACGCAGATGTAGACGCAGAGGAGCGCGGCGAACGGGAAGATGAGGGCGATAAGGAGCCAGAAGTGGTAGGGCGCCATGCTGCGCGGGAGGATGCAGTCCATCGTCAGGAAGGTTATCGGATCTTCACACACACACACACACACACACATATATATATATATATATGTGGGTTTTCCTTGCGCAGCCTCGTTCGTGGTGTTTGGCGTACAGATGAAGTCTTCCATGAAGTCGCTGGTCTGCTTGAGCCACACTAGGATGGGGTTGTTGGTCAAGGCGTGAGGGCCCCGCAGCGAGAACGAGAATGCCGTCCAGTTGAGCTGGAGCCAGGTCCTGACGGAGTGGAGCAACGACACAGACAGGGACAGAGCAGGTACCGTACCACCAACGTCATCTCGCATTGTGAATCCACCCCTCTCTTGCAAGCGTGACAATGGATGGATGGATGGATCTTTTCTCACGTCAAGATCTTCCATATCACATTCTGCGTCGTCTGGTACGGCCGCAGCCCCTCCGACAGATTCAGCCGCACCATCCACACCACAAGCGCCGAAAAGACCAACAGCCACAGCACCAGCTTGACGCCGATCCATGTCATGCTGGGGCACCCCACACATGTCGTCGCCCCGATCGGCCGAGTGTACCCCGCTTGGCACCGCGCGCAGAGCAGCCCCTCGGACCGCTCGTGGCACTGGTTGCTGCCCTCGCAGTCGGCCGGGATGGGGCACGGGATGAAGAGCAGCCCCTTGACGGCTGGCCCCTCCCTGTCAACGAGGCGTGTGGTGTCGTTGGAGGTGCCGGAGGTGGTGGGGAGGAGGGGAATGAACCCTGCGCCGGGAAGGTCGTCTTCGAGAATGAGAATGTCCTTCCTCTCGGGCATGTGCTTGAGCTTCAGGCTGTAGAAGGACGGCCGGGCCTCGGGGATGGCCTTCTGGGCGGGAGTGGTGCAGAGGGCGCCGGAGGGGCACTGAATACACACAGGCATGCGGTTGCCACCATGTTTTGGTTGGTGGAGCGATGTCGTTGGCTTACGTCTTGACATCTGGTGGAACCGTGCGCTCCTGCAACACACCACACACACACAAGCGAGGCGACAGCCGATGCGACATGTGGCTGGCGGTAGCTACTACTACGGAAAGTTCTTTGATGCCCACCCATCCCATCTGCTGCCCACCTGCATAGGTGCCTGTTGGGCATGTCTGGCAGTAGTCCAGGCCGGCATGAATGTTGTACTCACCGGGCCTACACACACACACACCTCTGCGACACAGCAAGACCACAGGCTCTCTGTGTGTGTGTGTTGGATTTGAACCTGCAGAGCTTGCACTTTATCGCCCCCTGCATGTTGTTGTATGTGCCGGCCTCACACGGCCTGCAGGCCTGACTTAGGGCATACAGAGGGGCCCTCGGGTCCAGCTCGTTGTACGTGCCTGACGGGCACGGGATGCACTGCCACCCCGCATCATCCACCTGAGTCCCTGCAATCACGCACACACACACACACAAGGCACGTGTGCATGCCCCTGTCTGTCTCTCTGTCTGTCTGTCTGGATGGCTGGATGTCTGGATGTCTGGATGGCTGGCTGGCTGGCTGGCTGGATGGATGGATCTCTCGCCCACCTGCAGGGCATCTTCTGCAGATGACTTCCCGCCACTCGCTCGTCTTGGCTGATATGGTCACGTCGAGGGCCTCCCACCTCTCGGGGCTGTGCGGCACATTCCCCCCCGGGCACGCAAAAACCTTAGCATCGATCGTCACCTGACACACAATACAACGCACGGTCACACGACCACTGGATCGAAGAAAACAAACACCTACACAGACCTCTTTGGGGAACTGCTGCATGTACATGGCGAGGGACGTCGGGAGGTAAGGGTCGAAGTTGTTGTCGTGCAGCCGCACCTCCACACCGTCACGGATGCGCTGAAAGGTGTCGGGCAGACGCCCTGACAACCTGTTGCTCTGCACCAAAGGGAACGCATGAAGCAAGAATGGCTTGTGTGCCCGATGGATGGACGGACGGGCGTACCCGGAAGTTGATGATAGCCGCCTGCGTGAAGTTGCCAACACCAGGAGGTAACGAGCCCGACAAGCTGACCAACGAAACCACCATTGGCCAGAGTGATTGGAGTGAAAGCGTCCTCCTTTCTCTCCCTCCCCTCCCCTCCCCCTGCAACGCCACGCACTCACCGGTTGTTTTGCAGCTCCACCTCTATCAGTTTGGTCATGCCCTCGTAATGTACGCCATCGTACGTCCCGCCCCCGATGCACAGCGGCACAGCCCCGCTGAAGTAGTTCCGCTTCACGTCCAGCCTACATGGCCATGACATAAAGGCACAACAGACGGGCGAACGATGCTCACATACATGGATGGCTTGTCGGCGTGGTGTGCCGGGTGGCTCACTCACTCGATGAGTCTGGTGAGGTGACACAGGCCAGGGGGCAGCGTGCCGTCGAGGCGGTTCGACTCGAGATCCAGCTCCACCAGCCGGCGGCAATTGGACACCTCCACAGGGATCGGCCCCGTCAAGTTGTTCTGCCATCCACAGACACGGAGGCAGGCAGGAAGGAAAAGAAGATGAGGGCACGAAAGGCGCTTGTGTGTTGTCAGTCTGTCTTGACACCCACACGCACCTGCTCGAGTATGAGCCGCTCAGTGGGGCTCTCGAGGTCTTGGCTGCACAGGTTGGGCAGGAGGGAGGGGATGGGACCGGTGAAGCGGTTCTTCGAGAGATCTATGACCTTGGCATGCTTCAGCAGGCCTACCGACTCGGGGATCCTTCCCGTCAGACCTGCACCGCACCCACACAACGACCGACACATGAATGAATCAGTGGCTGAGTGGCCACTGATGGGTGTCGTCACGCAGCGAGCGCCCTCACTTACCTCTGCCCGACAGGTGCAGCCCGTATGTCCTGCCAGCGAACCCGCCGCAGCGAATGCCGGTCCACATGTCACAGAACCGTGCCGAGGAGTTCCACGGGCCGACCTCATCCGGGTCGTTGCCCTCCTCCTGGCTAAGTGAGTCATAGAGCCGCTTAAGCGGCTCCCGGTCCTCATCGCAGCCGCGACAGGACGATGGCGGCTCGCCACGGACTGTGCTGAGCAGGGCCGCCGCCAGGAGAGTGAAACTGAGAGTGACGAGTGAGGCGGAGCCCGCCATGCATCACTCACAAGCAGGGAGGATCAGAAAACCTGCTCGTCTGAGAGGAATGACAACACAACACACAAGGAGAGCATTCATCGGTTGGCCAACCGGAGATCTGACGCCAGGGTAGCTTGACTCACCTCTTGTGCGCCCCGCCTCGTCTCTGCTGCCGAAAGACAAGACGACCTGAGCTTGCAAGTCTGCGAGCTAAGCCGGCGACGAGGGAGGTTTTCTAAGATGGCATTGCAGAAGGGAGTGTAGGGCCTTCTTCCCCCCCTGCAGCAGCAATGTTGACGCGCGGATGCTGCAATGTGCAACGGCGGGCCTGATATTCTCTGCGGCGGTCTTCACGGGGTGCCTGACGATGGATTGGGTGAGCACGGCGCCCGGTGTGGAGCACTACCCCCACCACCGATACTGGAACATGTTCCGTATCAAGGGCAAGAAGGAGCAGACCTACAGCCAGATATACAAGGACATGTGTCTCCGGGGCCAGGCCAAGTTCGTGGCGGGCATGTGCATCTCGCCCCTCTGCAAGTACTACTTCTACGGCAAGTGCAAGGGGTACGAGATCATCTTCTACGGCAGCCTCATCGGCATCCTCTGCACTGTCCTGGGGGTCACGCTGCAGTGCGTCGGCACCAGCTGCCTCTGCAGCAGCAACAGCCGGTCGGTCAGCATGGGTTTCCTTATCGGGCTGCTGGGCGTGGTCCTCAACATAGTCGCGGGGCCGCTCTTCCTCATGATGGTCAAGTCGGGCATCGACTATATCAACGTCTACGGCATCTACCCCTTCCCGGCGCCCGACATGGGCTTCATCGCATGGCTGGTCGCCGTCATGGCCGTCGTCCCCAGCGCCATATGTGCCTGCTGCTACAACACGGCCGTCCAGTGGGAGGCCAAGGAAGCCGAAAGTGACGAGGGGAGTGAAGAATCCGACTGACTGACAGACAGACTACTAAGGTAGAGAGATGCTTGATGGCTGCAAGGGGCGATGGAAATAATGAGGACTTGTAGACGTGCGTGGCGGTATTGGCTGTGGGCCTTATAAATCATGATTGCAATGACTGACGTCCACCGTCTCTATCTCTCTGTGTCTCGCACACACACACACACACAGAGGCACAAATGCACACAGCACAGACACGGATGACATGTCTGTGTGTTCCTCACATGTATTATCCAAGATGCGTTGATCCGATCACGCACACACACCATGGAAGGCACGAGTCAGTAGGCAGGGAGGCGGGCAGACAGACGGACGAACAGCCAGACGGGAGAGCCACCGGGTGGGGTGTGTGCAGCCAGTCGGCTACCCCAGAGAGACAGACAGACACAGGCGGAGGCGAGAATGAGAAGAAAGGAGTCGGTCGGTCGGTCGACAGGGCGGCCAGCCAGTGAGTGGGAGGGGAATTTCTGTAGCTACGCATGAGGAACCAATTGGTCTGTATTCCATGATCGATGCGTTCCTTACACGATGGATGCATGGCCCCACGCCCACCCATCCCCCGCACCCACTCACACGACGTTAGGTAGGAACAGATAGATACACAGACAGTCATGTAGATCAGTCACTGCTGAGTGAGAGTGGGCGGGCATGCCGAAGCCAGTCGCTCCCCGTCTGCCCTTTGCAGTCAGTACAATGAATGAGCCGCAGCCAGCACCCTCTCTCTCCCGACAGACATCAATCCATCACCCTATCGGGCGTAATGGTACGCCAAAACCTGATATATGCGGCCCCTTTCACGCACCGGACGCATAGACAGACGGAAAGAGAGAGGAGGGAGCCACTCACTTCCAAATGAGTAGCAACGAGTACCTAGGCATGCTCGAGGCATTTATGCTTTTAGTCAATGAGTGAGTCGGATCAATGAGTGAGCGTCAGCCACACCACATACAGTGAGTATATATAACGCACCAGCCAGCCCCACGGCACACACCCCTGCGACCAGGCAGGCAGGACACACACGCACGCACCCCTCTCACCCCGGCCCCACCCCCAGCCCGTGGCATGGCATTCATCAAGCAAGGCCGGCACGGCGTCTCAACGTCGAGAGAAAGAGAACCGCTTTCACCTGGCTGGCGTGGCGAGAGCGGCTTCTTGCATCTCGCTGCCGATGACGCCGAGGTGTGCAGCCCTGGCAGCAACACCACATTCATTCATCCATCAAAGAGAAACCACACCGCGCGTTAAATCGCACACATGGATTCACTCACTGGTCCACACACACAGAGCCACGTGAAAGCAATCAGTCACACACAGACACAGAGAGAGAGAGAGAGATGCCCACCATTCCCTAAAGCAGCAGCTAACTCTTGGATTTTGAGTTGCCTGCCTGCCTGCCTGCCTCGCTGCCTGTCTGCCATAGAATACACAACCTTTTTCTTTTAGCGATATGTCACTTACTGGTATACGAGTGAGTTCGGTTGTATTGCTTATGTATGCTGTCATGATCTGTGAGCGTACATACGTACGCAAGCTAAGCTAAGCTATGGTATGACATCACTGCCCCCCTCCCCTCCACCCCCCCAAAGCTTTCGCCCACACAATTGTATACAGAGGGGGGAGGCGGACAAGCGAGCGGGAGCGATATATAGCACCCCACTGCCTACAGAACCTAGGTGTCTGTCTATAGTGTCTATGTGCTCACGGTCTAGATCGGTATCGACAGAAAGAAAGAAAGAAAGACAGACGGACGGACGGACGGACCCCCTCTCACCTCACCGCCTGTGTGCGTCGTGCCTGCGCGTGAGGGCACACGGCGGCTTGAGCAGGTGGTGGGGATGGCTGCCGGCGTGGTGTGCGGGCAACGGCCGTCGATAAAGCGAACGGAGCGACGCACTGTCATGCTTCAGCGACCGAAGCACCTCAAGCAGATCCTGCACACACTCACACACACACACACACGAGAGAAGATGCTCTCGTCTCTCCTCGCTCGTTGGTGCATCAGATCCCCTGCTCACCGCTGGCAGAGGCACGTATGTTTCGATGTCGTAGCCGCCGCCGTCAGGTCTCGATGGTATGGCCAGGAACAGGCCGTGGAGGAACTGCCGGCGGCACCACACGCTGTCGTTGACGACGTAGGGGCGTTGGTCTTTGCGCGCATACTTTAGGTCGCCAACCAGAGGATGGTGGTCCGCCAACCCTTCGGCGATGTGCGCACGGATCTGCACAGACACACATCCTGGTTTGTCACCATTCACGGCTCCCTCCCTCCCTCTCTCTACCCACCCACCGACCTGGTGGGTCCTGCCCGTCTCTATCTTGATTGACAGCAGGCTGTAGTAGGTCTTCTCGCCGCCCGTCCCCTCCCTCACGAAGATGCCCATCACCGTGTAGTGTGTGGTGGCGGTCATGCCGGCTCCGCTGCGGTCCCCCACCGTCACACACCGCACCGACCGCCCGCCGCTTTCCTTGATGAGCCGCTTGTTGATGGTGCCACAGGGCGGGTACACTACACCGTGGGCGAGCGCGACGTAGATCTTGGTGAAGAGTTGGCGGTGGAGGAATTGCTTGAGCTGCTTGTACGCCGGGTAGGTCTTTGCGATGCACAGCGGGCCGGAGGTGAAGCGGTCGAGGCGGTGGACGTGCCCGTACTGGTACTCCAGGGAGCGAAGGATGGGGTGCCGCTTGGTGTCCAGCTTGTGCCACGGCCACACGTACATGATCTGAATGAATCGCCCAACCAACCGATGAGACGAATGAACATGTGTGTCTCTCTCTGTGCGCATGCGTGTGTGTGACTGCCCTCACCTTGCGGTCATTCTTCGGGTCGACAAGGGCCGCGTACGAGTGCGCGCTGTCCCCCTCAGACTCGGCATGGTCACACCCACACAGCCAGTCACTCGGCTTCAGCAGCACCCTTCAAAGGCAAACCAAGCAAAGCAGCGAGCCCAGACACACAGTGAGTGACATGACGCCTGTGAGTCGGAGCATTCATGTCATGCTCACCAAAAGTCCTCTGTCGCATTGAGAACGGTCGGAACAGCTGCCGACGGCACACTAGGCTCCATCAGCTCGCTCAGAAAGGGTGTCAGGTCGCTGTCGTTGACGCCAGACGGGCTGGACATCAAACTACTGTCCGCCGGCTCATCAACACAGTCCTCCTCGGCCTCGTTCTCCAGAGTGCTCTGCGTGTTGGGCAGCAGGGACGTGTATGACGGCGATGGCGCATCATGGTCCCCAACCGTCGGCCGCAGCACGGGCGTCTCGATCGACGACGAGGTATCACCACCACACGCTCCATGGGCCGGGGCACCAGCACCATCGCCGCCCAAGTACATCTCGGTGACAGTCCGCTCCAGCTGCTTTGTTGGTCCGGCCTCCCACTCGCTCCACCAGCGCTCGTAGTCCTCCATGTCATCATCAACGCCCTCCCCCGCCCCGTCCCCCGTGCTCCCGATCGCACAGTCAACATCGGTCGACGACACGGCATCCGACGACGGGTCAGCCAGACACGACACCTCGTCCGATGGCGGATCCGTCGCGTCGTTGGCCGGACCGCCGAATGCGAACTCATGCATGTTGGGAAGGTCCGGCACGGGCGGGAACCCCTCCTCAGTGGCAACAGCCGGCATGGGGGAGAAGGAGGGGACGGGAGGGGGCGACGGCCACTCGACCATCGGCGGAAGAGTGGCCATCATCGGATGGGGTGAGGGCGGGGCAGCGACGGCAGCCTCTGGAGCATCGATGCACTGCGGCTGATCTGACGCCGGTGGTGGGGAGGGGGTGCATGGAGGGGCTGGAGGGGGCTCGGTGGTGGCCAGAGGGACCATCCGACCAGAGGAGAGCAGGATCAGACGAGCTGGCGGCTGACAGGGCGTCGGCTGCAGGCGGCACAAAGGCACACACACACAACAGACATGTGAGGGCCCATCCATTGGTGCACAAAGTGGCAAATATGGTCTGCTTACATGTTGGCTCGTGTCTGCATCCGATGCGTCGTTCACGTCGTCCGTCACGATTGCAGGTGGCGGTGGGGGTGGGGGAGGGGGAGGGACGGGGGGGAGTGACGGGGAATGATGCGGTTCTTTCTGCGCCGCTCTGGCGCCTGCTGACAGTGGAGCGTTCTTGATCCGCCTCCGGTGGGGGCCCAATGGTACCTGCAAACCACACATACAGAGAGCCGGGATTACAACCGCATCCATTCACACACCCCACGTGAAAGACACATACCGTGGCAGCTGGCGAGTCTTCCTGCGATGGCATGGCTGGCTCTACAGGAAAGCTGTACGAGGGCGGTGGTGGCGGCATCGCTGGAGGCATAGTGGCCGCCGCCGGCACATCCGGAGGGGGCGGGATGAGCCCCGCATAGCCAATCAATGGTGGCGACACAGCCGGTGGCTCGAGCGCCTCCTGCTGCAGCCACTGGGGCACAGGGCCAACGATGCCCTTCGCATGGTTCGCAGGATGATGATGATGATGCGGCGGCGGCGGCGGTGGCGGTGGCGGTGGCGGTGGTGGTGGTGGGAAAGCAGGAGGCTGAAGGATGACCGTGGGTGGTGGAGGGGGAGGGAGCGGGGCAGAGTGGCTGTGGCACAGATAACCCGGCACGATGGGATACACCGGCTGCTGCTGCTGGTAGGGGGAGGCGTAGATGTAGACACGGGGTGGGAGGGGAGGGGGAAGGGGTGGGGGAGCGGGTCCATCAGGCCCTCTCACCGTCACGAACATTGTGTCATCATTTCCTGTCGGAAAGGCCGTCTTGTGTTGCCGCGAGACTTCGATGGTCGAGCCACAGGGAGCGGACAAGAGCGACGTCCTGACCCGCTCAAAGCCAATAGCCTCCTTGATAACCACCCGACAGAGAGCACAGTGCGGGTGGATGTCACGCGAGGCCTGGACCTCTTGCTGATGAACAGCTGGGGACGCAGACGCGTCGCGGTCTCCTACAGAGGACGGCGACGAGGCGGCAGAGTGGGAAGTCTCGGCCACCGAGACCTCGCCCTGAGTCGCATCTCCATCTTCTCCCCCGTCTTCGTCGTCTTCTGCCTCTGCCGCTGACACAATGGCCGTCACCTCAGCCTCATCATCAGACATCCGCTGCCGTGACTGACGAACGAAACCAGATCTGGAAGCGACCGCTGACGCCGGCCTTCACAAGCAACCAACACGCTACCTTCACAACCGTCAGCTGTTGGCAACAAGCGACAGAACAAACACGTGACGTGTGATCCTGCGTGTGCGTGTCAGTGCTTGAGCGCTTACCCTTCACTACTAGTACAACGTGATCTTCTCACAGGGCAACGCACACGTTCCAAAGCCCTGATCAGAAACATCGGGAGCATCGCCGTGAAACTGACTGAAATCAATAAATTCACGAAGGCGGCGCCCCTCGCCGCAAGATGAGCGTGTCTGAGGCTCAGGAGTGCCTGCAGAACATCAGCAGGCTCAGTCGAAGGGAGCAGGAACTCCGCAAGTGAGAAAACATGGACCAAACACCATGACTGGATGAATGGATGAATGGACGAGTCCGTGCATTGTGTTGGTTTTGTTGGTGTGGTTGTGCAGGGATCTGTGTGCGCTGGCTGAGAAGAACAAGGCCAAGAAGGAGCGGATTGACGAGGAGCAGCGGCGGTTCACCGGCAAGCAAGCAACAAGCAACCAACGTGTTATCTGGTTCACTGCCGTGCATCCCTTCCAATGGCTTTGTGTGCCATGTTTGTTCGGCAGAGGTGGTCTGCCGTCGCCTGCAGAACACTGAGGTGCGTCTGCTTGTCTGCCACCGACACACACAGCCGGCTTGACAACCTCATTTGTGTGTTTGTGTGATTCAGGATGAGTGTGCGAGTTTGACGGCTCAGTTGAAGACCGAGGGCCACCGATGCAGCGAGCTGGAGAAGACCATCAAGCACCAGACGGTCCGCAAGGAGCAGACGGCGAGTGAGGCCAAGAAGGCGGCGGGCGACGCCGTCAGACAGAGGCTTCGCATGGCACTCAAGATGGAGAACTTCATCCGCTCGCTCTGGACGGCCATGAAACACTGGGACGCCGGCATGTGTCCGCTCCCGGGAGCCTCACCCATCAAACAGTACCTCAACAAATGTGCCGGTCAGTCAGTGGGGACGGACACATACATGCACACACCGACGAAACACCACACCCCCGCACACCTCCTGCCTCCCCTGCAGAGAGCGAGTCGTCCAACAAGGCCATGCAGGAGAGGCAGGCCAAGGCGGTGAGCGCGTGTCCTGGCTGGGCTGGGCTGGGCTAGGCTGTGTGGATGTGTGTGTGTCCTTCAGGCTGCATTGTCGGGCGAGCTCAAGGTGCAGCAGGACAAACTGCAGCGCCTCAAATTCAAGGAGAAGGAGGTCAGTCACACCAACACAACACAACATAACATAACACAACACACGCCACGTGTGCAGCCCGCCATGAATGCATTTGCCTGTGACTGACTGCGGTGCGTGTGGATTTCCTTCGTTCAGCTGGGTCGTTTGTTGTCGGGCAAGTTGGCGGCGCTGTCGAGCGATTTGGATAAGGATAAGGAGAACGAGACCGAGCCCAGCAAAGACAAAGTAACCAACACACATGTGTGTGCACAGACACGTGGTTGCACGTCTCTTTATGCGCGTGCGTCAGGTTGTTGTCGACCCCGCCATTGCTGACATGAAGAAGTAAGTACCCTAGCAAATGCGCAATGTGCCCACCCTTGGCGTGTGTCCTGGCTTGCAGGAAGCTCCGTGACGTGCAGTCGGCTTTCGAGGCCGACCTGGCCGCCAAGCAGGCCGTCCTGCAGCAGCAAGCCAACCAGATCAGAAAGATCGGTATGTACAGAACACGGGCCATCGGTATGTATACGTCTGCATTCGTCGTCTACTTGCAGGTATGGACATTGACCACTGCGAAGCACTGAAGGCTCAGAAGCACGAGGCCTTCCACAACTGCGTCTGCGCCAAATGCAACGAACCCATCAACCAACGTATATATATAATGACGCCACTGTCGAGACACGAATGGCGTCTCTGATGTGTGGACGTGGGTGTGTCTGTGTGTTGTGTCAGCGGGCCGTTGCTTGTACTGCATGGAGATGGATGGGGGCATCCAGCAAGACGAGGAGGACGGAGGGCACCAGCAGCAGGAGGAGGGCATGCAGCAAGATGACGCAAAGGCCAACTGACACGCCAGACACGAAACACACACAGGACAGCATCACAAGACAGACAGACAGACAGACCGAGCGACGGACCGACCAGTCGATGATCAGACAGAACAGAGCAGAGAGACGGAAACACACACAGGGTGGACGCGTGTGTGTCGCCGCGGCGTTGGTGCGAATGAGATGACATCGCAATGCGCGTGGATTCATGTATGTACAGACAGACCTTTGAATGTCCCTTCGCACACCCAGATCTTTCAGCCTGGCGACCAAGTGGAGGGACACACCACACGGCCGCTCGCCTGGCTGCTGTCCGTCCGTCACACTCTCACGCACTCACTGTCTGTCACTAGCTCTCTGATGGCCTTCAGTGCCTTGTCCAGGTGCTTGGATGAGCTTAACAGATGGTTCCCGCCTTCAACAGTCACCAGTTGCACACCCACTCCACCGTCACTATCACTACCAGCAGCCCCCCGATGTTTTAGAAAGGCCGCATGCAGCCCCTCCGCCATCTCCAGAGGGATGGACCGATCTTTCGTGCCTGGCAGCATCCAATCCACGCACCCACAACACACGACACACCAAACATGCATGAGCGCCATGCCGCATGCATCAGCTCATCCCAACGTACCCACAATCCCATCCATTCACTCACCGTGTATCAGGAGAATCTTTACGTTTCGGTCGATCCCCTCAACCATCGTCTGAGTGTCAGGGAAGTCGGTGTAGCTCTCCAGGTAGCCCCTGTGCAGCTCCCACATCACGCGACCACTGCCGCCCTCCCCCTCCCCCTCCCCCTGCTGCTGCTGGTGTTGCTCTCCCCTCCACGGCCAGAACTCTTTCATGCACGTGTGATGAGGGGGCGTGTCGAAGTCGGCCAGCTGCTCGGGTGTGAAGTCCAATGTGTACCTCGATGGGATGTCGTCCACACAAGCGATGGCCGCCACGCCGCAGAGCAAGGGCGATGGGGGAGGCACGCCGACGATGCGACTGCTTGCATAAGCAACGGACAGGAACGCACCTGTGTGCATCAACCAATATGAGCGCCGGGTGCCGAGAAACAAACAAGGAACCTTCCGGTGCACAGCTGTGTGTCCGTTACGTACCTGTGCTGAGTCCCACAAGAAAAAGCCGCTGAACATTCGGGAAGGCTGCCAGAAGGTGTGTGCTCACGGTGTGCAGGTCACACGCATCGCGCACGAGCGTCTTATCACGAAAGAGCCCATAAGAGCCCGGAACACCTACATGGACACACGCCATATACATAACTCAGCTGTGTGTCACGGGCCGCCCTCCCTCAGTGCAAGTGTCTGTGTCTGTGCGTACCTACGGTGCGTGTCCGATACCATTGCTGTTGAAGGCTGCGAAACCACACCTTTCGATGTGTTCCATCATTTGCGCAGCCAGTTTCCGAGGAAGGCGGGATGAGTAATAGCGATGATCAGGCATCGGCTGTGGAGGCTGCAGTGGCCGGCCTTCGTCAATGCCGTCCACAGGCACGCAGGAGCTGTCGGGGAAGCCATGGGAGTACAGAAGCAGCGTGCGCACATCTGTTGCAGCTGCATTCGTGTCGACTCGTGTCAGAAGGCCACCAAAACGACAGATCTCACTGCGGAAGGTGTTTGCCGTCATCAGGAGATGCCAATGGATGGATGGTCATTCGCCTCGGTTTGTGGGCACGGGAGGGGCTGCTCTTTGCGCGCTTAGCTCGCAGGTGCGCACGCGAAATGAAAAAAGCTGTCACGGCCGCGAAGAGATAGCCAACGAACGACCGCACCGTGCGTGGAGCCGAGTGGATGAATCAAAAGGTGCTCCGTGATGCCTTCTGACGGAGATCTCCACTTCTGACGTGCTCCACACCGCTCAGTCCGAGATTCGTCGAGTGATGAGGCGGCAGGGCTACGATGTGGTTGTCTGCGGAGCGGGGCTGGCAGGTGCTTCGACGGCCTATCATCTGCAGCAGACTCATCCGCCTGTGCGTGTGGCGATGGTTGACTCCAGGCCGCCCTTATCGCTGACCTCCTCACGCAGCACAGAGTGCTATAGAGACTATTGGCCAAGTGAGGCCTCCTCAATAGCTGCAGAAACGACCGACGGATGGATCTGCTGCCATGTGCGTGACTCATTTCAGGTGAGTGCATGGTCAACCTGATGGACAGAAGCATTGCCAAGATCCACGCCATCCACAATCAGCTGATGGAGTCAGAGGGGCGGGAGGGCTGTGGCCTCTCGCTCTGCCAGAAGGGCTATTCCTTCTTCGCTGATACCGACGAAGCCTCGAGCAGGCTCATGGGAAGCGTGGACCACTTCCACAGGATGGGGAGGCCTGTGCGGGAGGTGCGGGCGGACGACGCGGTGGGCGACGATGGCTTGTCTGGTCATGGGCTGGACGTGTATGATGGGCCCGAGAGTGTTCGGAAACACTACCCCTGGGCTGGTGAGGGAATGAGGGGATGCCTGAAGGCTAAGAGGTGCGGGTGGCTGGACGCTCAGCGACTTGGCGGCTTCTTTCTGGAAGAGGCCAAGAGGCGAGGGCTGGAGGTCATCAGAGGTACGACACAAGCACCGCATGCAACGAAGACCACGTTGGCACGGTGCCTGCACGTGATTGTAGGGGAAGTCGTTGGTGTCGATATCTCTTCGTCGAGGGAGGGGCAGGTTGTGACGATCAGACGAGGTAGGTACGCGAAGCCACGTGTAGTCGACCGTGAGTGACCCAACGATAGATGCTTGTCGCTTTTGTCGTGCAGACAACACTGCATCGCCCACGCAGCTGTCCTGCCCGACGCTCGTCTTGGCAGGGGGCCCATTCCTGCCCTCCCTGCTGTCCCTCATCAACGCCCCGCCCTTCCCCCTTCCAGCAGCAGCAGCCGCCGCCCTGACGCTGCTTCCCCCGCGCGTGTTCCCTTTCCTCGTCAACGAGGTGCATGCCAAGGTCATTCTGAAGGACACGCTTGGCTTGATGCCGCAAGACCATCCCAACGCTGGCATGCAGCTGTACAGTGACTCCCAGGTCAGACGAGCAGTGTGTGTGCCGCGTGACTGTTGGTTGTTTCGGATGCACCCAGGTATTGGACTGGCCGGCTGTTTTTAGGGAGGACCCGCAAGGGTTTCTGTCTCTGCTTCGGGAGACGGAAGGCGGGATGCCTGTGGAGATGGAGCTGGTAGACCGTCTGCTTGGCAGGCTTGCTGATGGTGCCCACTTCCGCCCTTACAGGCCCGATCGGCTGCTCATCATATGGGATGTGATGCATGACGGTCTGCAGGTAGGTGAGGCCTGCAGATGAGATGAGATGAGATGAGAGCGGCATCCGTCCGATCTGTATCTCAATATTCATTCGTGGGTGTGGTGTGCTTTGTGCTGGCTGGCGTCAAGGTGACGCACCCGCCTCCCCCCGAGCCCTCTTTGTACACATCCCTCTATCCAGAAGTCGCAGTTCGCGGCATCCAACGGCTCATACCCAGGCAAGGCAAGACAAGACAGCCACACCCCAACAACCAGCCGCACCGCACACATCGGGGCCCCGACCTTTGCCTGCCTGCCTGTCTGTCTGTCTGTCCCTGTGTGTGTGGGTGTGTGGGGGTCTGCAGGCTTTCTGCGTACCTCGGCCAGCTTAAGCAGCTGTGCAGCGTCGATGGAGGCTACTACTGCAAAGCACCGGACAACCGGCCTGTCATCGGGCCTTTGCCGACACAGCCAAGCGTCATCATTTGTGGGGGTATGTCAGTCAGTCAGGCAGAAAGCAGGTGGTGGAACGCAGTCATAGACCTGTGTGTGTGTGTGTGTGTGTGTGGTGTGTATTGGATGTGGGTGGCGTGCAGGTCTTGGGGGTTTCGGTGTGATGGCATCGCCGGCCGCAGGGGAGCTGGCCGCCTTGCATGTGATGAAGCGCGTCAGTGGATGGACCGACGATAGTGGTGCCTCCTTCCCTTCGTACACTGAGGCCTTTTTGCCTTCACGATTCTGTAGTGAGGTCTACCTGAATGAAGTGTGTGGTCCGTCGAATGCAGGCAAGAGGGGACAGATATGATATATATATATGAGGCCCTGTGTGGTGTGTACATAGGCAGATGGATAGACCGGACCCATCAGGCAATCTAACTTGCCTGTATGTCTGCCTGGTGTGGATAAACACAGTGTGAGACGATGGATGGATGGATGGCTGATCATCGGTCGCGACAGGTGTGGGTCCATCCACGAGCCGCAAGAGGTCAAAACAGAACAAATGCAATGCATGCATTCAGGGACACGATCGATCCCCCTCGTCTCGTCTCCTCCTTGCCTGCCTGCCTGCCTGCCTGCCGTCTATCGTCCCCCTCCCGCGTCAATGTCCATGCCCCCCTGCCCCTCCTGCTCGACATCCATCCGCTGCGAACCACCCTCTTCGTCATCATCCACATCCATACCCCAGTCGTCACTTCGCATCCTCCCCAAAGACATCGCACTTGCACTCCCCGGATCGCTCCCCAACGGCGCCGCACGCGACACCATTCCCCCGTTGTGCTTGGGAGAAATCGCCATCGGCGCCCGGCTGACCACGGCATGAAATCACATGAAAGAACACCGGTGAGAGAGACGGATGGCTGGATGTGCCTGCCTCCTTCGCTCCCTCCTTTTGATATATCCACCTACCTGTGGGGAGACGTGGGCCATGAGAAAGGGTGGTGTGCCAGTGCAGGCAGTGTGCCAGTGAGTGCATGCACTGCCGGCCTCAGCAGCCCTCCCGGTGGCGCAGGCGGACGAAGAGCCGGTGAAATCACCATCGCGGGCTTACTCTCTCCCTCCTTCGTGCTCCCCACGTGCGCTGCAAGGGGAGGGGCCTCGAAAGCGCCGCTCGACACGCTGATGGGCGGTGGGCGGAGTCTTGCACGTGATAACGGAGCTCTGCTAGTCCGTGGAGTGTTGCCAACAAAGGCGTTTGGGTTGGGGCGGACTTCGACAAGGCCTGCACCGAATCCAATGGGTTGTCCAATGGGGCCTCTGCCACAGGGCGGCTGGCTCTCCGTTCTTCGTCGACGGGCCCTGAACGAACACTCGGGGTCCTCCTGGCGCTCCCTGTCATCCCTGCCAGCCATTTCGAGAGGAATTGCGAGCTACGAAATGACGCTTAGCTCGCAAGGTCTGGAGAGATCCCGCTGGAGATGAGGTAGTTGAGCCTTTTTCAAGCAGCGACGTCAAGATGGGATCCTCAGACGAACACCGCCGGTGACTGACGCGAGGAGAGAACCTGCACACAATCGCATCCTGCGCAGAGGCGGAGGTCAGCCATGCCGTTTGCCGGCTTCTATGCTGCCGCCCCTTTCGCATGGCGGGTGAGTCACTTGGCCTCGGATTTCGCCATGGCGTGGTTCAAGGGCTGGTCACAGAAAGACCAGCGGAGGAGCCGCACAGTGCTGCTCAGTGGCGTGGCTGGCCTCGCATTCATCGGCGTCACCATGAAGCGCGTGCCGCCAGGCCATGTGGGGCTCATTGAAGACTGGAGAGGTGAGGCGAGTGGGTGGGTGGGTGTTGGGGCAGAGGTGCAGTAACACAGCACAGGCAGTCTATTGATTTTCTGTTCCTGGTGTTTTCTCCTCCTTGCCTTGTCCCGTCAGGCCAGCTTCTGCCCGGCATGTATGACGACAGTGGGACGCATTGGGTGCTGCCGATCGTCCAGCACCCGGTGTCGGTGCGCGTCTACCCCGTCAAGAAGAAACTCGTCAAGGAGTTCACAACCAAGGACGGCAAACCCGTTGAAGTGAGCGTGGTCCCACACGCACAAAGCTCCCATCATCCAATCAGCACACGTGACGGCATTTCCTATGTGGGACATCCATCAATCAGGTGATGCTTCAGATGAAGATGGCCCCGAAGATCTACTACGTCCCCGAGATCTACCTGCGGTTCGGTCGGGACTACGGCCGTTCGTTCCTGGAGCAGGAGGGAGCCATCGACGTGAACTCGGTCGTCTCCCAGCACACCTTTGACGAGCTGGTGGGCGACAACGCCGACACTGAGGACATTGTGGATGAGATCGTCAGCCGCATTGAGGACGCCGCCTTCTTCCACAAAATCAAGCTCAGGGACCCGGTAGGTGGGGAGGTGGGAGGGAGGGCCCCTGTCATATATGTTCTGTCTGTGTGGTGATGCCCTCCCTTCTGGGTGCTCTGTGTTCGGTGCTCGTCCAGAATATTGTCTTTCGCGACCCTAATGCTGATGACGACGAAGGCCCGTAGTGTGTGTGTTTTGTTTCTTGGTGGTTGTTATGTATCACGCATGGCGAGGGAGGCAGTGTAATGATGTATGTGACTTGAATGCTGCCGATGAGGCACGTTTGTGTGCAGTGACTTGCTTGAGTGAGGACACCACTTCGATACGTCAGTCAGACTGAGTGCACGACGACGACATATTTGCGTGTGCAGATGACACAGTCAGTCCCTCACGAGTATCATCGATCGATCGGCATCATCCCTCCCTTCACCACCAACCCCCCCAAACACAACCCATATGTATGTACATGGTGGGGGCCTAGGCAGACACAGTCAATGTGAGTGATTCATGACGGCTGCATCCCTCGCTCCACCACTCATGAATCACTCACATTGACTGACCTGCCGTCGGCGCTTCGGGCACCTTCGGTGCCCTCCGCATGAGCGTCAAACTCTGGCTAGTCGATGCTCGGCTCGGCCCTTCGGGCCTCACTTCTTCTTCCCCTTGCCCTTGGCCCCCTTTTCTTTCTTCTTGGGTGCGTTTGCCGCTGTGACGTAGTCGGGGACGGACACGTAGAAAAGGTGGGGCACCTCCAACTCAACCTGTGTGCACACACCACACCACACCACACCACACCACACCGCACCACACCACACCACATTCCCTTGCCCTTGTGTCTTCGGCTAGTTACCGGTATGAGAGCACGTCGACATAGGTCGATGTTGCGCCGGGCCTGTACAGGCCAGCCAGCCAGCCAGCCAGCCAGACTCCAGAGGTGCCATAGTATGCTCTGTTGGTGTGTGTGAGTGCGTGTGTGGTTAGGTATTTGTTTACTGCGACTGTCCTCGGGTGGTCGTGGCCCAGCTGATCGGCCAGAAGCATGGTCCCGATGTCCAAATACGCATGCGACTCACGATGCCTGCACAGCACACCACACCAACGTGGACACGACACGACCAGAGAGAGAGACAGTGCCATCCATGTCATGAATCTTCGTTGCTAAGCTAGGAGCCAACGTTGGCACCTTGGTCACCCACCCACCCACCCACCTTTTCAGGTGCGCAAAGCAGACCCCCAGGTTGACGTATGTCGAGGCCGTGTCGACGGAATCCATGCCTGCAGCACAGGCAGGACAACGAACGGCGCCCGCAAGGAAAGACGTGTGCGTGTCTCTCTCTGCATCTGGCTCTCTGGGCAGACAGGACCCGTTGTGCTCTCGCGGATGAGGCGCGCCTGCAAACAATGGGCAGAAGAGATGGCCATGCATCAGATATATCAGGCAGTGCAGTGCGTGTTGGCCAGTCAGTCGACTGACCTACCTTCAAGTAGCAGCGTGTGGCGACATCGACCTCGCCAGCAGTGAGCGAGACATGGCCTAACGAGCTGCAGGGGAGGGCTCGGTCTGGATGGCTGGCAGGGTACCTGCACACCACACCACACATCCATCCATCCATCCCTCCATGTCTGTCTGCCTGCTTGCGCACTTGTCCACTTCTCGTGTTGCACACTCCAGAGCACGAACAGCGTCCACAACTGACAAAGAGGACGGCAGGAAACATACATCCATCAGACGACACGTACTGCATAGCTTAACGACGGGTTGGTTGCTTACGCATGCCCATGCCGACGAGTATGCTGGCCATCTCCATCATGAAGAAGAAGAGCTCGTCCCTCCGCAGAAAGGCCAGCTCGAGGTCGTCACCGTCCTCCGTCTTACGCAAGACATCCCGCCACGCATCGGCAGCCGCCTCCTCCTCGGCTGCTGCACCACCGCCCTTCCCTTCACACCGTGTGGTGACTGCAGCAGCCGCTGGTGCGTCAGTCGATGGCATGTCTGGCGTGTTGGGGCTGGAAGGCATGAAGGGGGAGGAAAGGAGAGTCCCTGGTGTGGTGGACCGAGGGCCTCCTTCCAAATGACAGACACACAGACACACGAAGAAGGGAAAGAGCCTCGTCCATCGCGTATGTGGGGGGGGTTGTGTGTTGTGTATGCCGACCCATCCGCCCACCTACCTGCTTCTCCACTTGGCGACAGGAGCTTCTGCGGTGAAGGGGGTGCGCCGATGAGGCTCTGTATTTTGGCGCGTGTGGGTGTCTGGTCGCTGCCTTCTTCCATGAGAGCGGCGGTGACTCTGTCTCTTCTCGAGTTGACCCAGCGCCGCCATATGGTGGCCAGGGTGGCCAGAGCCTTGTCGAAGGCAAGATCGAGGCGGTAGGCAGACAGACTCGACATCTGAGAGAGAGAGAGAGAGAGAGCCCATAGCTAAGGGGCGTGTGTGTCTGTGTGTGGCTACCAGCACAGTGATCTCTTCCAGCTCTGCAGCAGGGGGGATGAAGAAGTCCTCAAGCAGGCAGAGCTGAAAGCTGCTCTGAGAACGAACGGTGAACAGAGACAGGGACGCAGAGAGGAAGCAGATGACAATGACGGGCCGATCGCTGCACCCTTTACCTACCTGCAGACCGGGAGCCGCTTTTGCCAGCGCGGCCTGCAAATCATCAAATCAGGAAGGAATGGCGTGTGTTGTGTATTATAGGTGCGGCTGGCTCTTCTGTTCGCGTGGCCCACCTCATCTCACCTCACCTGCGTTGCCCGCCAGAGGAATCTCGGTGGCTCCTCGTAGGGGGCGACAGAAGGTTTGGCGGCAGGTTGTGGGACGGGCATGAATGTGGGCCTATTCCACTGTATCTCACGCTCCTCCTCCTCGGCCTTGCCCTTCCCCTTTCCGGCCTCCTTGCCCTTCCCCTTGGCACCCTTGTCGCCGCCACCTTTCTTCTTTTTCGGTTTCTTCTTGCCCTCTGCACAGAGAGAGAGAGAGGTATACATACCCACAATACAGGCCTTCTTGGTGGCGCCTGTGTGTAGTGGTGATGGTTCTGTCTCCGCCCCGCCCAACCTATCTATCCACCCATTCACCTTTGGCAGCTTCCTGCTGCTTCCGATACTCCTCGATCTTATCGACGTATGGCACAAGCTTCTTGGGGTCGGGCCGTGTCAGCACCCTGCTCGGCGCGGGCGGCACTGGGGGGAAGCCCACACACATGCTTTCCAGCCTGCTCCTCATCTGCAGCCGCTCCCTCTCCTCCTGTGCGGCCACGGCGGCGGGCGGCACCTCCCTCGCTGTGGGCACACGGCTGGAGGGGCGGAAGAGGTCCTCCACCACCCACCCTGACACCGGCCCAGAGTCAGAAGGGAGATTCAGGAACCTGAGTGGACAGGACAGCAAGCATTCAAGTTACATAAGTCACTTGTATGTCTCTATGCAGGTGTCTGTCTCTGTGTGTACCTCAGTACCTGTAAAGGACGTCCTCAAGTCGGCTCTTGTGGACGTCGAGGGGGCTCCGCAGCACCGACGGCGGCGCACCCACGGCCAGCGCCACCAACGTCTCAACAAACTTGCAGAAGTCCATCTGAGGTTCCGCTGTGTGCAGCATCGACAGGTGGATGGGTGGATGGGTGGATGGTTGGATGGATGGATGGATGGAAGGGTAAGTCGTGACAAGGGAGACAGAGGCACGGTCGCAAAACGAAGTGCCTTACTTACCTGGCAGGGCAGATGATGTGGGGATGGTCATGCTGGGGCTGCCACTGCCGTCTCGGCTGAGGGGTGAGGGCGCCTCCTGGGTGATCTTCTCGCGGTCGAAGAACAACCGCTGGTCGAGGTTGCTGTGGGCGTCGATAAACATCTCACGCAGAAGCTCCGCCGCCTCCTCCTCAACCTGCACGATGGCATCGGAAGGGTGGGTGGGTGGTGTGTGTTCTGTCTTGTGTCTTGCGTGTACGCTAAGTCTGCTGACTGACCAGCAGTTTGGGGATGATGCCTGTGGCCCTGCAGAAGCGCAGGAATGATCGAGCGGTCATGGATACGGCTCCCTGCTTGATCTTGGTCACGGGAGGGGCTGCAGACAGCGAAATGCATTCATTATGATGCATCCAATTTCTCCGTCCCTCCGTCCCTCCCTCCCTCCCTCCCTCGAGGCGCACCTGGCTTCATCGGATCTCGGGTAGAGTAGTGGCAGAATATGCGAGACAAGGTCTTGTAGCAGCCGTACACTACCTGACACACACAGACGCAGAGAGAGACAGACAGAAACCGCAAGGCGACAAGTAAGTTCATCTCATGCATCCCACCACACCCATGATGGCCATGCTCTCACTCACTCACCTCAATGAGCAGAGGGTGGAAGAACACGTCCCGCAACGGGGACCTGTCGGCCGCCTCAAATACCCCGGGCCTCTGCTCTTCCGTGGAGGTGATGAGCCGCGCCACATCACTGGCACTCCCCAGCCGCGGGTGGATGGCCGCAAGACCCGCCAGGGTCAGCACAAACTGCCTCAGGTCCAGCTTCCGCGCCTCCAGCTGCATGCACCACACGCAGTGAACAACAAACGGACAGACAACAGTCAGTGCAAACGCTGACTCCATGTCCGCGGCGTGCACCCCACCGGCGGTGCTTCGGGCCGCTTCTCCTTCGGCTTCTCTGCAGCGGTTGGCGACTCCGGCGGAGTTGGCGGCGGCGTGGTGACTTCCTGGAAGACCTTGAGAGCCCTCAGGTGGTCCACCCCCGCCTCCAACACGCGGCAGTGGTCCACGAAGCGAAAGTAGTCGAGGAGGGTCATTCCGGCCTCTGCAGCGGTGAACTCAAGGAAGATGGCGTTGGCTGACTCCTGACTCTTGGAGCCGAGCGACGCCATCAGGGTGGCTGACGACTGGCCGGAGAGCTTCTGCATGATGCTTGTTGACCAGCGGTCACGAGGACAATCTTCGCCCCCGTCTTGCCCCCACAACGGCAGAATGCATGCCTTCTTGCAAGTTGGATTTCGGTCAATCTCAGGTTTCACGTTGTGTGTGTCATATGCAAGCATTCATGCACTGCAATGGGTCCCTTCAGAGTGACCCCAGTCAGTTGGCATGCGTCTGTCTGTCTGCCCTAGCTTGCTTGTGTCAGACAGGTCAATCAATAAATAAAAGCGTCAAAGCACTCACTCGATCACAATGACAGACAGACTCTCCACACACTGTGACAGACACCCAGACAGACGGGCTGGTGTGGACAGACAAACAATCACCCATCCTGGCCTCCCATGCATTCGCCCTTTCTTCCTCGTCCACCCAAACGTGACACACAGGTTGGTTGACAAAACAACAAAGAGAATCAAGACACACAGACAGACAGACAGACAGACCATCCACCACGCAGGCACCGGCACCACGAACACGAGAATTAACGGAATGACTGACGGTGGAGTGGCCATGGATGGGGGCGACGAAAAATACGCGCTGTCTGACCTGGTGAAAGAACGAAAAACCGACCGACCGACCGACCGACTGCTACTGCAGGTTGTGTGTGTATGTGTGTGTCATCGAGACCGACAAGACAGTCTCCTTCATTCATCGGCCGATCCATGCAGTCACCCTGGACCTCACACACACCGCCATGTCAATGAAGTCAGTCACTCCCTACCTAGCTCCACCCATGGCGAAAGATGATCGACATACACCCACACACACATGACACTGACAGGGACATGATAGACAAGTCTCTTTGAGTTACACAAGCCGCTCGACCGATCGACGGACACCACACCACACCACACCACACCACACCGCACCCCCAATCCACGCAAAAAGAACAGACAAACAGACAAACAAACAGACAGCGAAAGAGGCCGACGCACATCCATCCATCCATCCGAACAGCTCTAGCTGAGAAGACCGACAGACGGATCATCCACACACTACACGCGCACGTTCACTGTCTTCCATTCCGGTTGAGAACCCGTCGCCCACCCACCTGTCTGTCCCGGCACAAGCGGTCAGACAGGGAGAGGGAGAGAGGAGATGACCATCGACACACAGGAGGGGAGAGAAGAGGGGAGGGGGGGGGGAGTGCAGACCAACCCACGCCACCGACGATAGACAGACAGACACACGCACAAACAACACTCGCAGGTCGACAGCAGTGGTGTCAAAAGACCCGCGTGCGTGCATATCTGTGCGTGTGCCTTGCTCTGCCTGGCCCGTTGGGAGGGGTGGGGTGTGTTGCATAGTATTCACAGAGGAACTGCACAAAGTGTACAGGCAAAGCGGACACTCGCTCGCCCGTACTAGGTAGTGATTCGCCCGTGCGCGTGGGTGGTGCCCAGGGCTGATAGTCTACCTTCGTATGAGCAGCGAGTCAGCCAGCCAGCCACACGAGAGAGAGAGAGAGAGAGGGAGAGAGAGTCGAGCGGGTGAGAGGGAAGCGGGAGCAAGGGGGGCGCCGCGGCGTTCCCTCTGCGGACCCATCAGTCAGTCAGCCAGCCAGCCATTCACATGGTACGCAATTCACCACCACAACCTCATGCAGCCACGCACGGCATCCATGACATGACACCACACACAGACGAAAGCCCTTGCCGTGCAGGCACTAACCACCACACACATCGCAGACAGACACAGACATACATCCACGCATCCACACATCCACACACACACACGTACACGTCGTGCTCGCCTGCCCTCTCTCTCTCTCTCTCTCTCTCTCTCTCACACACACACACACACAAAGGGGCACCCAGTCGTTCGTTCGATCGTTCCACTGATATGGACGGATGGAAGGAGTACGTATGTATACAATGTTTGTATGTAAGCCATGACTACTGCCTGCCAGCCTGCAGCAGCTGCTTGCTCATTCATTCCTTCCTCCTCCACTCGCCGCCCCTCGCTATGCTCTCTATCCACACACCGCAGTCGCCACGCGCCACACGCGCACTGTTGTGCGCGCAGACAGGCAGGCAGACAGACAGAGGGGCGTCCCCCGGCACACCAAGCGGCCACATGAGACAGACAGTAGGAGAGACAGACAGATAGATGTAAGGAGAGAGATTAGCTGAGTGAGTAAGTAAACAAGTGACAAAACGGGCAAAATTCGCTTTCGCTATCTAGAGGTAGAGGTGGGTAGGTAGGTAGTAGATCCATCCCTCCACCCCTCCACCGGTCAATGCTCACGTGGCCGGCCACAGACAACCACCGCAACATATACAAGCACACCCAGTCGTGTGTGAAGGCATGTTTTATGTAAGGGCAGCAGAGAGAGTAGAGTAGAGTAGAGTAGTGTAGTCAGCAGGCAGCAAGTGAGGTAGTGGCATCCATCCATCGTGTATGTACGTATGCATCCATTCCATGGATGTGTTGAAACCAACCCAACAGCAACCCTGACAGGCAGGTCACAGGCTATGTTACACAACGGCAGTCTCATCTGCCCTTCATTGATCGACCACAGTGAACGAACCACCACACCCACCTCCCATCACCTCCCCTCCCATCCCCTCCCCTCTCTCTGTGTTGTGCAATTGTGGTGTGGCCCGCACGCCCCGCCTCAGTTCCTTCGTTCTGGAGGATCTGGCGGATGCGCCGAGCAGCGAGGGAGCAGTGACGGCACAAAGAGAGAGGAAAGAGAGGGTAGATGACGGGACGCACAAACCACCAAGGGTGAGTGGGTGGGTGTATGGAGCAACCATCAAGCAGCAACAACATCACTAAGGCACCATCCATCCAGTCAGTGAGTGTACAAGTGAGAGTGAGAGAGACAGCCTAACCCTCCCCTCCATGTGTCTACCTACAACAATGTGCCCCGTCATTGTCAGTCCATCCACCCACCCACAAGTGCACCGGTCGGTCGGCGCCAGCCTTCCTGTCTGTCTGTCTGTCTGTTCCGCCAGCCATTGAATGCTTTTCATCCCCCCTCACACAGACTCACACTCACAGTCACATGACCCACCACCAAAAAGCACCGCACCCACAGCAGCAAGACCGTGTCGTGTGTGGACAATGGCCGGCTGGGCTGACTGGCTCGGTTAGTTAATAGTTAGTGTACATTGGCAGGGAGGGAGGGAGACAGGAGGGGAATGACTGGATGGATGAGGGAGGGAGGGACTCCGAGGGAGCGATAGAAAACATACATAGTACTTCAATCTACACACACCGCACACACAGACATTCACAGACATACACACACATTCGCACAGCAACCACAGACAGACAGACAGACCGACGGACGAAAATGCGGAATGATGATCAATGAGCAGCCAGCCAGCCGCCCAATCGACACAGCGGACAGCAGACAGTCGACACAGCAGACGATCCATCCATCCCTTCATTCGGTCGTAATTAGCAGCGTATTACGCATATTGCTACAGCAGCCATACATCCATCCATCCATCTAATTGCGACATAAACCACGAAACGCCCCCACACACGACACACACGCCTCTCCCCCAGCCTCTCTTGAACACACACAGACGCCCACCCCAGCACACAAGCGCGCGCCGTCCATCCATCCATCTCCATCTCTCCATCTCTCCATCTCAGCGGGCCGACCGACCGATCGACGAATAAAAGCAAAATCACCACTACGCAAGGCAGACAGACAGACAGAGATGTGCTCTCTGTCTAGAGACCCCTCCCTCAGGTGAGCAGTAAAAGCAAAGGACGCACGGGATTCGGCAACAGCTCACTCATACATGGCCACACACAGAGAGAGACAACCGGGGAGGGAGAGTGTCCACTCTGTCTGCTGCCTGCTGCCCAGCCCCACATCGATACGATCGCATCCATCGTACGCGGCCCGTCCAGAGGTGAGACGGCGACAGACACCATACCCTTCCTGGCCTTTCTTTCATCAAGCAGAGGCGACCGACCGACCGACCGACACACAGCCATCCATCCATCCACACATCCATCCGATCGACCGCCCGCCGCCCTTCGCTTGAAAAAAGGACCAAGCGAGTGATGGCGCACACCACACACACACGCGAGAGCTAGAGGGAGAGAGAGAGGAGGGGGCTTTCTTGCACAACACAACACAACACAAGACACGGGCAGTAAAAAAACTCAGTCGGCCCATCAGGCAGGCAGGCAGGCGTACATGCTGAGGTGAGATGGGGCGAGGACTGGGGGCCTTCTCGCGAGGTATGTATAGCGATCCTGGGGGTGCACTGCGTAATGCAATGCATGTGCACACACATAATGACTAGGGAGGGTATGTATGTGTGTATGTGTGTGTGATGGACGGAGTGAGTGAGTGGATAACAGCCAAAAAGACAGCGCAGCGATCCATCCATCCATCCATCAGCCACCCTCACCTGCCTTCTCCCCATTGTTCATTGCTCCCTCGCCCCCTGACCTCCCTCTCTCAGCCCGCCCACCCACCCACCAGGCGCCCCTCTCTCTCGACTAGGCAACGACCACAACAAATGCATCCACGCAGTCGCACACACGATACAGTCAGGCAAGCACGGCATCGTTCGCTCACAGCACGGCACATCACGGCATGGCACATCACATCACGGCATGGCACGGCAAGGGCTTTCTTTACATGTCAATCACTCACACGCATGACATCACACACACACACACACACAGACACTGGAGTCAGTGACATACCACTCAGACAGACAGACACCAGTGGCCGCCCACTCACAGGCCCTGCCCACAGCACAGGAGAGGACACACACGAATGCACGCGCCGGCCAATCGACCTGTCTGGTAATTAACGTGTCTGTGTCTGTGTGTGTTTGTGTGACTGACCGTGGAGGCCCAGTGGACGGGCTGTCCGTCGTTGTCCCCCGGTGGGATGCGCCGCCGACCTGTCATGTAATCCGCTACCATGTTCTGACAGACAGACAGACAGACACACGAGGGAGGAAGCAGGAAGGGAAGACACACACACACAAAGGATGCACGGCTTGCCTCGCCTTGCCTGGTGTGTGTGTGGTGACTCACCCCGAATCTGTGTGTGGGTTCTTCAAATCTAGGTGAGAAGCGGCCCCCGGTGTAGTCGCGACACCGCAGACCAACCTGAACGAACAGAGAGGAGAGAAGAGGAGAGATGCAGGTCCCTCCGCCCTTAAACAGATTTATTAAACGCACCCACCTGCACTTTCTCGCACGCTTCAATGTCCTGCCAGTTGACCATGTCGTAGAACTTGAAGACCTCGTCGATGTCGCTGTCAGCCTGACGTGAACACACAGCACACCCACGCCCCACGACCCGTGTTCAGTACCGTTGCAGGGGGACGACCATGGCATCGCATCCATGGAATGGAGTGTGTATGTATGTGTGTGTAGGCGGGAGCTGAGCTGTGCTGAGCTGAGGCCGCCCGCCCCGCCGCCCCCCCAACGACACGGCACACCACATCCATCATGTCACGGCTACGATACGGCACCACACCACACCACACCACACGGCAGCACACACGCGACACATGTCTAACGAGACGTGACGTGAGCACATGGATGGATGGATGGATGGATACGTACATCACATGCAGGCGGGCAGGCAGGCACCAACGAACGACGACGACGCGACGCCACGCAGGCAGAGCAGAGAGGACAGGGAGGCAGGGAACCGTTCACATGCATTATATGCCATGCACTGCACTGCACTGCAGCCCAGCTATCCGTGTCGTGTCGTGTCGTGCTGTGCCGAACTGTGCTGTTTACCGATGAGCGAACCGGCCAGCCAGCCACCAAGGGACGACCATGAGAAAGGTTCGCGGACCGATGACGGATGACTGATGATAGGTGGCCGAAAGAGTCGGCGGACTCTCTCGCACCGCGATGTGATAGACCATCCTTCATCTGCTCCATTAGCTGACGAGACGAATGGCTGCCCAGCTCCCTCCCTCCCTCCCTCCCTTGCCCTGCCTTCTCTACGTGAGCTGGCAGACAGTATAGTTTAGACTCATACCGGCATTGAGCTAGGGTGGAAGTGCATGTAGGCGCGCTCGTGCGTCACACCCGCAGACTGACGCAATGGATGCCATGCGTGGACACAGACGCCGCCATGCCATGACATGTATGTGGTGTGGTGTCTGTCTCACACTGATGTGAGAGTGTGTGGCTGGCTGGGTGGCTGGCTTGCCTGTGGGTTGCACATGACGGTGAAGACGTGGTTGGGGAACATGAACCAGAAGACGTTGGGGAAGAGGCCGTGGAAGTAACTCCGCTCCTTGTTGCGCACACCTGTTTGTTTGTTTGTGGTGTCCCAACACAACACAACACAACACAACACAACACACACATGATACCTCTCTCCCTTCCTCCCTCCCTCCCTCCCTGCCTCACTGACTGACCTGGCATAGGTTGGAGCACGTCAGGGTCAACACACGTGCCGCCTCGGCCCAGTGGGTCGGTGATGAAGCCGCAATACATACCCTGCACACACACATATATGGATTGGATGGCCAAGACACAGTGAGTGCACTTACTGCACTCGTCGTAATAATGTGCGTTTGCCGCGTGTCGTGTCAGTACGTACCGGCCCCTGTAGCCTGTGGTGGTTTTCGACTAGGCTGACGGTGGTGAGTTCGGGGTGGATGGCGGGCAGGTGGTAGTACTCGAGGAAGTTGTCGATGAGCAGCTTCCAGTTGGCCTTGATCTCATAGCTCTTCTCGCGAACCATCGCCGCCTCACTCAACGGAAAGTCCGCCAACACGTCAGGCACATCGCCTGCACAACAACAACACACACACACACACACGAGACGACAGACACTTGACACGGGACGATCAGTGAGTGGTGTAATGTGACGGACCGAGGTATGTTTTGAGGTCGGGGGCGTCGCCGCTGAGGTTGACGAACACCAGGTGGCCCCACGAGTCGACACGTACGGGGAACAAACTGTACTTGGACCTGATCACATCACACACCAAACAAGACAGACAGACAGCACAGATGGATGCGAGAACCAACCGCCGTGTGAACCACCGTGCGGTGTGGTGTGTGTACTTGTCAAAGAACTCTTGTGAGAGGTCGAACTGCGGTGTTTTCTTGAGCTGTCCGTCGAGGGAGTAGCCCCATCTGTGGTACTGGCAGCTGAACAGGGGGTACCTGCCGTCCTTCATGACCAGCTGGCACCCGCGGTGGCGGCACACATTCTTGAACGCCTTGATCTCACCGCCCTTGGTGCGCGTCAAGAAGATCGGCTCACCACCAACCTAAAACCATCACATCACACGCAAAGACGAAGTGAATGTCATGCTGGCTGGCCTGGCCGTGTGCTGTGCGTTAGTACCTCGGTGGTGATGGTGTCTCCCTGTTTCCTGAGTTTGTCCAGCGGCCCCACGCACACCCACGAGTTGCGCCACACCTGCTCCTGCTCAACCGCAAAGAACTCCTCACTGTTGTACGCTGAGCAACCAACAGGACAGGAACAACAGGGCAGGCACCACACTGATTGCCCCTCTCCCCTCCCTCCCTCCCTCC